TAAGGCCTAAAATATTTGTACACAAGACTTAAAATGCTGTGAAAAGAAAATAAAAAAAAATCTTACCCAGTAATAGTAAAAGTACGCTCAGAAGAACAAGTAGACATACTGTGGGTGAAATGCTGCACTGCTTTAATACTTCATCATGTGCTCAAAGTTCATGTAAATGAATTGCCAAGACACTAAGCTTTGGCAAAGGCTAAATGAACTGCTGCAGGGGTAATAACACACACTTGTTTGTTTAGCAGTGATACTTCAGGAGTTCAATACCCTTATTATAGAGTTAAATGTACTTATTATTCTTAAAATCCCATATAAATTGCCATGCAACAATATTCAACAAACAAATTGATTCTGCAGCAAAAGGTGTTCCTACCAAGTAGTAGTCTGAAGGGGTTGAATACTTATGCAAATAGCATTTTTCAGTTATATTTTTTTTAAGAACTTGCCAGAAAAATCTGTATAAGTGTTACTTGTAATCCAGATAAATTTGATGACATTTAAGTGGGTTGAATACTTTTGCAAGGCACTGCATCCATAATGAAAAGAACATAATAGCGTGTGTGTGTGTGTCAGTGTGTTTGTGTATGTCATTGTATGTGTGTTTTTTGTGTGAGAGAGTAAGTGCTTGTGTGTGTCTTTGTCATTGTATGTGTGTTTGTGTGTCAGTGTGTTTGTGCATGTTAGTGTGTCAGAGTGCGTTTGTGTTTTTATGTATCTGTGTGTCATTGTGTGTTATGTGTGTGAGAGCATATGTTCATGTGTTTGTGAGTGGGTGTTTCTGTGTCTGTGTGTGTCAGTATGTGAATGTGTATGTGTGTTTGTATGTGAGTGTGTGTGTCTTTATGTGTATTTGCGTGTCACTGTGCCTGTTTCTTAATGTGTGTTTGTGTGTTGTGTGTGTGTATGTGTGTGTGTGTGTGTGTGTGTGTGTGTGTGTGTCTGTGTATGTGTATGTGTGTGTGGATGTGTGGGTGCGGGTGTGGGTGTGTGTTTGTGTGTGGTGCTTGTCTTGCTATTCCTGTAAGGACCAATGCCTTTACAATAATAGAACAACATAACAATCTTGCTGAAGTGAAGATCTTGCTGGTCCTCACTTGAACATGTACTGTTTTCACCACAAAGTACAGTTTTTTTGGAAAAACTAAATGATCAGTGATGAGTTGCCTTTTGCTATAATTGTGCCCAAAGGCAAGGCAATCTCACTCGTAACAATGACTTAACAAAAATCTGAACTGATGTTGAGAATAACCTCTGCTCCTATAGTGCTTCTCAGAATCAATTTTATCTCTCAACAAACAGAAATGTGGCATTCCGAAGGTTAGTGTGTAGTCATATGTTCTCAATGGTTTTCTGAGCAGGTATTTGTTTGTATGAGTGTGTGTGTGTTTCTGTGTGAGCGTGTGTGTCAGTGTGTTTGTGTATGCCTTTGTATGTGTGTCATTGTGTTAGAGAGTGAGTATTTGTGTGTGTCTGTGTCAGTGTATGTGTGTTTGTGTGTCAGTGTCTTCATGCATGTCAGTGTGTCAGAGTGCATGTGTGTCCTTGTGTGTTATGTGTGTGAGAGTAAGCGTTCATGTGTTTGAGTGTGTGTGTGTGTGTATGTGTGAGTGGGCGCGTGTGTCTTTATGTGTGTTTCCATGTCTCTGTGCCTGTGTCTTCACGTGTGTTTGTGTGTCTTTGTGTGTTATGTGTGAGAGTGAGTGTTCATGTGTTTCAATATGTGTGTGTGTGTGTGTGTGTGTGTGTGGGAGTGAGTGTGTGTATGTGTGTGTGTGGGAGGGAGAGAGAGAGAGAGAGAGAGAGAGAGAGAGAGAGAGAGATAAAGAGAGAGAGAGCTTTACGTTCTCAATTGCTATTTTTCTATTTTTATTATAGTGGTGAGAAGTACAGAAGAGAAGGAGAGGAGCCAAAAGAAAAACAAAAGCAGATTTAATGGCGATTATGAATCCAGTGCATGAGTCAGTGCATGAGCTTTATCAGAGAAAGCCAGCTTCCTGTCTCTCTCTCTCTCTATTGCTCCCTTCTGTTCCTATCAACCAGGTACAACAATATCCTGCCCTGAGGAATACAGGCACATGTTCAAATCCAAAATCCCTGTGGATTAGCCTATTGTGGTTTCAAATGATTTGAATTATTTTTCAGAGGTCATGGTCGTGCCATCCCCAGACAGAATCATAAATTCAAAACACTGAAACATGTTTTCATTATTCCAAAAAGGACTGAGTAATGTAATGTCACAGTGACATTAAGGTGCCTCTGCCAAAGTGTGAGCATATTTCAGCACCTAGAGTCATTGCACACACAAGGCAGTTCATATTTCAGTATTGGCAACATTTTTGATGTTTTGGATATATGCTTCCTAGATGACCAAATTGTATTTGAAAAGAATTTTAAAGACTTAAAGATTCCCTCTTTCAGATGAACATTAACCAATTCTTGTCAATCAACTACACTGTAAAAAATGGCTCATCAGATCAACCTAAAAAAAATAAAAGAAGCCTTTATTCAAAGTATTTATTTAGGTTGAATAAAACTAGTTAATTAACTTGTTACCACATGATTTTTTTAAGTAGATCTGATGAGCCACTTGTTACAGTGTACAGTCCATTTATGGAAAGTAAGCTGCAAACACAGTCCATTTTGAATTCAGTGTTTTTGTGATATCATGCAAATACCAACTCATTTGTGTATATCTGCCTACTTCAGCCTACAGCAATTTAGCCACTAGTTCAGTTGCTTGTTGCCATATAAAGCAACTTTTTTCTCAAGATTTGTGCTCAGACAAGCGCCCAGAACATATTTACCGAAGGACCATTAAATTTCAGATATGGACATTAATGGGTTAAAGCTTCTACTTCTACATGCCTTGACAGAAATGTCAAGTATTACAGCTATGTGCCCAGATTCAGCACCGCCTCAGTTAATCAGATACTCTCAATAAACACGCCTACACATTATAACAGAACATATTAACAAAACTTACATTTAAGTACAAACACAGTAAGCTGACAATTGGCTTTAACTTTCCATTTTTGTATCCTTATGCATTACAGATCTAACATATGTCTACAGTTGAATCTAGATATTCCACTTCCCCTCAAGTGACATCAGCAGCTGAATGAAGGCCAACAAAATGTCAGTGAGTTCATTAATTACAAACAACTTGGCACGCCCCCAGAAAAACAGAGTCCTGGATGACCAAAGAGTACTTTCAGTCATGGAGAACAACAGTTCAGGAACATGCAGCATGTCACAAAAATGTGTCAAGGCCTATGACAAAGAGGAGAACATGCCGATGTAATTTCAGAGAATTTACCACAAGATATAAACACTAGTAAGCCTCAAGAACAGAAAGGCCTGAGTAAAGTTTGCTGAAGTACATCAATGCCTGTAGAGTTCTGGGACACAGTGTTATGGACAGATAATCCAGATATAGATAAACCTGTGCCAGAATTATAGAAAAAAAATGACCTACTTATGATCCCAAAATCAAAGCACCTTATCTGTGAAACAGTACCATGAGCAGGTACATCTGCCAACTAAAGCATTTTATACAGAACACTATCAGAACATTAAACTCCACTCCTCAGTTTTACCCTTGTCATTTTAAGTCAAATATATTAATGTGTTTTAACTTTATTTTATTTAAAATGTTATTTTATTTTATATGTCAAATATGTGATGTTATTTCACTGCCACAATAAATGTTACATGTATGAATGTATATTGTGTGTGTGTTTGAGCAGCACTGAAACAGGTTCCTCTTAGTCAAGCACTGACTCAAATGGCAATAAAATATTTAAATTTGAACCGATTCACTTTATCACTGGAAAACCCACAGGGTCCAGGAAACATAAAAGGTTAAAAATCCAACGGAAAATGATTGAATCAGGATTTTTTTTGCCTGTGGTATCTGGGTCAATACAGCTAAGCGAGCTCTTCTATTGGGTAGGACAACAAGAGCTGGACTGAAGGCCTTACATTACATCAGATTAACGACCAACATAATTATGAAGGGGCAGCGGAATCAATCACATTTTGATTTCAAATGGGTGGGACCAATTTTATGAGAAAAATCATCACTAGGCCTTGTGGAAGTCTGAGATGCACCACTGTCATTTGTAAGAAATGGAAAACAGCAGCTTCCTTTCTCTCTCTCTCTCTCTCTCTCTCTCTCTCTCTCTCTATATATATATATATACACACACACATACACATAAAAGAATAAATAAAAAGGGCTGATTTCTGTATGGTTCAAACAAAACAGATGCAGATCTCCTTGGATTAAAACTCATGTTTCACCTTAAGTTCATGATCATTTCGTTTTAAATACAATGTGGAGAAAATATAAAATATAACAGTCCAATTACTTACAATTACTTACAGATAATCAGGCAGCAAGTATTTAGTTATAAGAAACAAAGCCACTTATTACAAATGACAGTGTAGACTTTTAGTAGTTTGACACTCAAGCTAGCACAGATGCCCAACACACTTGTTCAAGGCCCCTATCATAAAACATCACACTTCATCACACTTTTAAAAATGACAGAGTTTAATGTAGTTCTCTTGCTTCTTTAATATGGTTGATAACATTTTCATTTTCTAGAAAAAAAATCCAAAAGATTTAAAAAAGGTGAAAAAACTGATTCTTTTGAACGAATTGTTTATTCACAATGCATTTACATTTTTCTGCTTTCTTTGCCTTCAGCATCTTGAAGTTATAAGGAGTGTTTAAGCCTGAGTTGCTTTTTGAATGAGGAACAATACAGGTCAGTCAATCATGAAAGAGGTTATTTACATCATTACTCCTAGCAACACAGTAATAGAAACATTCATGTTTAATGCTAAAAGATAAAGAGAAGTTAGAAAATAATCAGGTAAAAGTCAATTATGACTGTTTTTGGTCTTTTAAAACTACATAATTACTATAAACAGGCTTCAGGAGAAAAATTAAAATACAAAATAAAAATATAGAAGTAATGGGCCCTTTAACCTCAGCCCATCCATGTGGTTGCAGCAGTTTGGGAGACCATGGTAGACCGGGAGGCCATAACAGCTGCCTGGGGTGCCACCATCATAGGTGGAGGAGCAATAACCGTTGGCTGGGTGTTGACTAAAGTGAAAGTTGTACGGCGCCTCTTTATCTCCCGGGCAATCTGGCACCAGGAGCAAACATTGCAGAAAGTAGCATAGAGACAGTCAGAGGCCATGTCGCCCTGTAGAAGCACAGTTAGATCATTGATTTTCAGTGATTTATATACCTATTTTAACTGTTTGTGCAATTTCATTTTAAAACAAAACTAGTTTTCTAGTCATAAAACCACTAAAGGTGGTTAATACGTCAATGCCATATAACTGTCATAACTATTTGTTAGAACAGTGATAGTGTGCTTTATTAGACCGTTGATCTTCTGAAGCATATTATATTTAAACAGAGATGCTAGAGATGTGAGCACTACAGTAAGTTCAGATTTTAATTTAGAATGCTGTGAAAAAGTATTTGCCCCCTTCCCAATTTCTTCTATTTTTGCATTTGTGGAATGTTTCAGATCATCAAACTACTTTTAATATTAGACAGAGATAACCTAAGTAAATATAAGATACTGTTTTTAAATGATAATTCCATTTGTTGAAGGAAAAATGTTATTCAGCGCTAGTGGGCTGTAGGTGAAAAAGTAATTGCCCCCTTAGCGACTAAATTAACCAGTTAACCAAATTTAATTGACTGTTGGATTCAGTTTCACTAGCCACACCCAGGCATGATTATTGCCAGACGTGCTGAATCTAAACATTACTTAAACATAACCTGTCTGGCAATGTGAAGCAGGCTAGACGATCTCAAAAAGCATCACATGATGCCACGTTCTAAAGAGATACAAATACAGGCACAAAAGTCTTTGAAATCTACTAGTCTGCTAAGGCTCTGGGACTCCAGTAAACAACAGTGAGAGCCATTATCCACAAATGGAGAAAACATGGAACTGTAGTAAACCTTCCCAGAAATGTAAAAATTTCACCAAGAGAGTGTCAATGCCCCATCTTGGAGGTCACAAAAGAACCTAGATGAATATCTAAACAACTGCAGGCCTCACCTGCCTCAGTTAAGGATAGTGTATACAATTCCACAATCAAAAAGACACTGGGCAAAAATTGCATCCATGGGAGAGCTGCAAGGTGCAAACCACTGCTGACCAAAAAGAACACAAAGACTTGCCTCATATTTGCCAAAAAACATCTAGATGACCTCCAAGACTTTTGGGATAATATTCTGGGGACTGATGAGTCAATGGTGGAACTTTCTAAAAGACATGGGTCCCGTTACAAGCGCAGTTGGGTTATGCAGCAGGACAATTATATGAAGCACACAAGCAAGTCCACTTCTGAACGGCTCAGAAGAAACTAAATTAAGGTTAAGACCTTAAATTAAGACCTTAAACAGGCAATCCATGCTTGAATCCCTCCAATGTAGCTGAATTCAAACGATTCTGCAAAGAAGTGTGCGCCAACATTCCTCCACAGCAATGTAAAAGACAAGTTCTCGCAAACGTTTTGAGTGCAGTTACTGCCAAGGCTGGCACAATCAGTTATTATGTTTAGGAGTCAATTACTTTTTACATGGGTGATATAGATTTTGAATAAATCTTTATTTTTAAGAAATGGAATGATCATTTAAAAGCTGCAGTTTGTGTTTACTTGTGTTGTCTTAATCTTGTATTTAAAATGATGATTCAAAACATTTAAAGTGATAAGTTAGCAAAAATAGAAGACATCAGCAAATAATGAAGAATAAAAAGTTCACTTGGTTCACTAGCATCCATAGAACATGATCTATTTCCTTAGCATTTTCTCACAATGTTTGGGCTTTAATAAGCTAGTAGTAGTTCTTGAAAAGGAGGCCACTTAAGCCATAAACCCATACCCACCTGTATGCCATATCGATTGCGCACAGAGGCCCTTAAAGCAATAGAAATTGGAGGAGTGTAACACGCTCCTAAACACTGGGCAGTCATGCAGGGAATGTCCATTATGGGCAGACAGCAGCACTCTCCAAAGTCAGACGCTGTGCAGCAGGCAAACACAGGGAAACACCATGCTGCAAAGCAGCCTGTAAAATTTAAAAATTACACATAGATGAGAAATGAATCAATGAAGTCTTAATGTATAGTATACTATGAAGAATAAAGCAAGGTTAGAATTGTGGCAGAGGTCTGAGAAGGAAGGGCTGGTCCCCTGTTGGAAAGTCTGACTGTGAGGTGAATTATGTTGGTGCATAATACTTTTGCGATACTTTTTTGTGAGTCGTTTAACTTCATATATGTATCGGTATGAATGATTTTTACACTTAAAACCTTGTGCAGCACCTAAAAATTCAAAACCATAGTTTTTAAAGGTGTACAAATGTGCCAACATTTGGCATGCAGAGAGCATGCCACTTAAATTTTGCCATTAAGAGTGACACAGCAAAAATTGTACGTATACGTTATAAATTATTCCAGCACTCCAAGACTGAGACTGGGACAAAGAAATGGGCTCCTGACCTTTCCTGTCTTTTGGGTTATTATTATACTCGACTCATGTTTCTGGCAGTATCTTAGCTCAACCTATTTCTACTAGCTGGAATACATTCTCTAAATGGACAACAAGGCACTTTAAGTACGTCTGCTAAACGCCGTAAATGTGAATGTAAATGTAAATGCAAATGCAAATCACTCAGAGCAGCTTTAGCCATGCTACCGTGACTACACTGTAAAAATGTCTCAGCAGTTCAACTTAACAAATTTACTTCAAGTGGTAACAAGCAAATTAACTAGTTTTATTCAACTCAAAAAATTGCTTTGATTGAAAGACATTCAAAGTATTTATTTAGGTTGAATGAAATTAGGTAATTTATTTAGGTTGAATACAATTTGTTAATTTACTTTTTCCCACATGAAGTACATTTTTTAGGTTGAGCTGACATGCCATTTTTACAGTGTAGTGGCATAGGTTACAGTGGTGTAGTAATGTAAATTATAAACAAAAATGACACTTGATCTATCTTAACAATGTGACCTTATATGTGCACACTAAATAAGCATCATTTGAAATAAGTAAAGCACTCTAAATGCATGTTTTGACAAAAACAAAGTTAACTAAGTTGTGTGCTGTAGTTTCTTATTGGGCTGAATGGAATTGTTGGCAACATTCTTTAAAGCTCGCTCAACGTTGCAACTTCTCACCTAGTTGTTTATTTTTTCAGAAACGCAGTGACATTGAGGCCTTGTTGAGCATCATGAGGTACCACTCACAGAAACATTAGCACTGGCATAAAGTAAATCAGGAATCACAAAATAACTTGTCCTTCTGTGGTTATGGCATCGTTACACTGAAAAAAGCAATGCACTGACTTTACTTGACTCAAATGTATACATCATTTGAATCAAGGACTGTATCGCAAATGTGATATATTTTATTCAGGTGGAAATGATGCTGGAGTATGGGAACAATTCTTTTCTTGTCTCAGTGAAATGTGAGATCCGTAAGAGATCAAGGATCCAACACGGGACAAGGTGTGGTCCGAGGGTGTCACTTTTGGGTAGAGTGGACAGGTTACAAGGTGGGTTTGTATCGAAAGCTGATGGAGAAGCAGGCCTGAGACTGTGACTGAGCATTTTGTATTTTTCAATTAGATATTAAGGGAACACAGTGAGTGTGTGGAGAGAGAAGACAAAGAACCATGCTTAATCATTTTAGCCATGTTTTTGATTATTTTTCCGTAGACCTTTTAGCATTTCTTTTTTTTTATTATTTTTCCATTTTCCAACAATGTTAAATATTTGTCTTTCAACCTTCATTAGATATCTGCATTTAAAAATAAACAGATTTTTCAAATATTGGACCCAATGGTTTCAGTTTTTATCTGAACTTGTGGAGTGTGGAGATACATACGCAGAGGATTCATATATAAGATAAAATACTATCATCAACAATACATCATTCTATAACATTAGAGAAGCAATGAAAACAGGGAAGCTCACAGACGTTGCAGTCATCGAAACAGCCGCAGATGCCTGTGCTCCACTGGTTGGAGTTAATGGCTGCAAGAGATGAGGTCTGAGGCTGCTGAAAGACCACACATGATGCCAGAGTTGCCATGGTCCTGGGATGGACTAAATAAAAACATAAAGGTTTATAGACTGTGGAGTTAATTCTCAGTGTTCAAGGTTCAGTGTTCTGATGTGCATGTTTTTTATAAACATTTTAGCAAAATACCCCAACGATGAGAAAAATGATGATTATTCAGAAGAAGGCCTGTTAGCAACTCTTATGGCATACGTCAAAATATACATCTTACAACATCATAGTATTGTAACAAAGTGGAAAAGTTAAAATGTTAAAATGTAATTGACCGATACCAATATAATATTTGAGGTCTGACAGCCCTTTTGCATCTCTGCTATGTACTCTTAATCACCATCTTGTGACCCCCCAAATGATCACAGGTAAAAAGTGGAGAAGACTCGTTCATCCCCCCTGCAGCCACCCCCCACCCGAATTGCGCCTGTGCTACATGATCAGAATTGACAACCCCTGATTTAGACTGTGTAGCGACACGTAAAGTGATTGTTAATGTTACTCATCAGGATACCATGAAATATATTTGCACTTTACACTGATACACTTTACACTGCGTTCTCTCCCTATAATGCACTGAAATCTAAAAGTGTTCATAAAATATAAAATAGCTACTAAATAATTAACTTATTGGAAAAAAGACAATTTTAATTGTAGTGTCTACTTACCTGTAGCCTCCAGTCCTAGGCTGTAGCCTCCTAGCTGCAAATGAATCTAAATGTACCTGTACTAAAGCCTCATTATCAGACTCCTCTGACTATTTGAATATGAACAAGGAACTTGATTTCTGAATTGCTCTGTTCCCTAATGGTTTGCATATTAAAGCTACTGAAAGGGCACCGGCTGAGATTGCCTAACCTCTTTTAAATGAAATAAAACAGCAACAATCTGTTCTTTTGTTTTGAATAATTTTATTCATAGTCACTGAAACATAGATTTCACATCAGTTGAGGGAAAGGTTCACTTTTAACTTTATAAAAGCAAAATTCTGTGATTTTTTCCATAAATCAGGAATCACTTCAACATCAGTGATGAGAGTTAAGCTGAGAGAGAGAGAGGGAGAAAGAGAGAGGGAGAGAGAGAGCGCTCGTGAGAAAAATTAATAAGCAGCAAATTATAGGTCTGGAAACAGTAGGGTACAGTAGTGGACAAACTATAATCACCTTAAAATGTCAAACATAGTAAAATCCCACAATTCCACTCTTAGTTAAATTAGACTTAGTTAAATACAATAATCTAAACAAATATGACTTTACTAACGCTGCTGATATGTTACATTATTGTGCAAGGTTCCTAAATGGTTCTCATTTACAAAAGGTTCTTTAAGGAATTTAAGGAATGGTTCTTCTATGACATCACCCCAGAGAACCACTTTGGACACATATTTGTATTAGTGGACATGGCAACAATATAGAGGTTATCTGATCAAGAGACTCCAGTCTTCATACGTGAGTAGCATTCCACAGCATAAACAGAGATTAGACAAAATGCCACCGTCCTGTCAAACTGAAAACTGCTCTCAGATCAGTGTGCGTGTGACTGAGGTATGATCAAGACTTCAGATTTGATGAGGACACACATGCATTCGAGATTATGAGTAGAATAAGGAAAAAAGTTATGATAGGTAGACATGTTCTCTTCACTTGTGCTGGTGATGGTAATGATGCCAGGGACGGTGATGCTGATAATACGAGGGTGGTGTTGATGATGAAGCTGATGATCTAGGCCTTTAGCCCATTGGCCTGTTGTTGAACAGTGTGACAGGGTGAAGTCTGGCCTTCATCTCGCGCCTGATTTGGCACCAGCTACATGGGCCGCAGAAGAAGGCATACACACAGTCGTTGCAGATAGTGTCCTGATGGAGAGAGAGAGGAGAGAGACGATGTATCAGGTTTGCCCAGAGATTACAGACTATTCAATTGTTTTAGATCCATCTTTTTCCAAAGAACAGCCTTGATTAAGTGGGTTCATCAAGCCTATAAATAATATAACATGAGCTTTTAAACAATTTCACAAGCTCTCGAATTTAACGCTGTGTAACTGGTTGGAAGAGAAGGTTCTGGCTGTTCTTACCGTGATGCCGTAGCGCTTGCGCATTGACACCCTCATGGAGAGTGTGACTGGGGGGATAAGGCCGAATGAGTCCAGGAGAGGGAGGCACAGGCATTCGCCATGGTCCCGCGCTGTGATGCAGGCAAAGCAAGGGAAGCACCACACCGAGAAACAGCCTACATATACAAAAACACACAGAAACTTTAGGAATGACTGAGACATCACTGTCTATTAAATATAAAGATTTGTAGAGCTGATAATTTCAATGTGCTACTTTCTATGCTACTTGAAGGTACTTTGTGTATCAAACCAATCCTCAGGGCCCCTAGCCAGTCCACCTTTGTGCTCTACCTTTGTGGACTGACTAGAGGACCCTGGGAACTGGACTGAGAACTTCTAAGCAAAGGTATTACATTGTTAGCTGCCTCCATGTGCATCCATATCAACACGTACAGTTTGCTCATATTTAACTCTTTTTCACAACATCTTCCTGCCTGCCTTTGAGGTCCCTCAGTTGAAATATGAGTGATTTGTCTTCTTCAGTAACACTGATATAATATATTTCAGTTCTCTTGTGGCAGTTGTGTATGGTTGTTTGATCTTAAGAAAGCTGCTGTTGCCCTGTCCAGCTGTCTGCGTAGAGGTGTGCATTGTTTTCTCAGCAGTGGGTTTGCACCCTCCCCTTTCACCCTTCATTGCTCGCTGCTAGCCGTTCAATATTTCACACACAGAGAGCCAGCATTGTTCTAGTTAATATGATAACAGAGTTTTAGGGAAAACTTTTTATCTCTTTATATTAATTAATTAATTCATTAAAAATCAAGTTGATTTCCCTTCTACTGGAAGAATGGCCACGAGGGGGGCTGCAGAAAGAGGTTAAACAAAGCCGATATTTTACACCTGTCTAAGATGCTCTAATCTAAAATGATAAATTATATAATTTTGAGGCCTAGTATGGTTTATATAATATATGTTTATATCAATGCGTGCACAGCTTTACAACTTACATTCGTTAACGCTTTCACACTCGCAGATGCTGGTGGACCACTGGTCCGAGGTAGCCGCCACTACCAGTGGCTTGGGCTGCTGGATGACCATCTTGCTTGCCATGGTGAAGACTTTAAGAGGGAAAAACACATGCACAATATGGTGACCAAAAACAACCCACAGGTTCTGTTAAATAGCTGAGTTATCTGAATAATAACTTGTTTTATTTGCTTTTATTTAATATATAGCATATTATCACAGCCAAAACTTTGTATCTCCTCTTTTTTCATTTTTTATTTGAAATTGCCAGCTGCTTTTTAGATTCTGTGATAATTGATGAATGGGCCAATAGAAATTGTCCATAATTACTTAGAAACATTTCATTACATTGACTTACATTACAAGTTAAGAATGTTTTCTTCTTCCCATAAGAAGTTACTATTTTGGAGACAATTTGCTCTGACAGTGATGAAATACTAAATAGTAAAAGGTTATAGTAATATTATAGTGTAGTATAGATACAAAATAGTTGTTGGTAATACATGCAGTAACAATAAATGGAAAACCTAATGCATTTTTGTGCTGAAAAATTAAATTAAAGGCAAAAATCTTTTGTCTAACTGCTCTGTCTCATATCATTGTATAGGTCTACAGCAGTCAGGTGTCTTACCTGTAAGATGAATCCAAGGAGAGCTCTTACAGTAGAATGACACTGTGGAAGGCCAACTGGGCGGCTTTATTAAGGCAGGGACAGGGGGGTGGCCAGGAATGCCAAGATGCCTTCACACAGACACACTTAGGTCAGCATGTGCAACAGAGACACATAGATGAGCACTCAGACATGTGTATGCGTACATGCATGCTGCGGGATGCTTATCAAAGAAAGGCTTTTCAGTAACTGGTCCAGCCAGGCGGGTGCACGTAAATGAGAAAAAACACTGTGAAAAATGCCAGATCTATAGATTATGTGAATTGTGGCATTCCACACAAAGAAAAATCACAGAGTACCTTTTCAAAGGTGTGTCAGTGGAGTTATATGGTTGGGGTTTAAAAGCTAAATGAACTAATGAATGAATAAATAAAGTCTTGTTTAGTGTTGTAATTGGTGCAGAAGCTGTGTCTGCAAATGACAACCCTGATCATCAGTTGGCATCTGTTGGCTGGAGCCATCTGAATCATTTGTTGAAATATTTTATCTGTTCCACTGATCAGAAAGTAGAATAGATCCATGCTTCTCACAGTGAAAAGAAGAGTGTGGAGCACATTTGGCAGTACATCCTCTCTCAATAATTTGAATATTTTTACAATCTTAAGGAGTGAGATGTACAGCTGTATTTACTTAAAGATCATTTCCAAGTCTTTAATCTGTTAAAAATATGAATAACATTATATGTCTCTTTGAATCCGAATCAGAATATGGTTTATTCGCCAGTATGTTGTGTGACCGTAAGATGAACAGGCATATGGCAGAATTTTCTTGGTGGAAGTGCATAATAATATTTAACATACAAAGAACATACACATAACAGTCAGGTGTACAAACACAAACAATATACAAAGTACCTATAGAGAAAACTTTGGTAGATGTCTATTTAGTGAGGGCAAAAATTGTACATAATTATAGTTACTGTAGCAGAAAAAAATAACTACATAACCAAAAAAAAAAATAAAATAACTGCCCAGAGTTAAACTGGCCATGGTGAAAGTTCGTGAAGTATTAGGATGGCTCTTCAAAAGAATAGTTCAGCAAAAAATCTAATTTACCCAGTTTTGCACTTACCCTGGGTGTAGTTCATCGACCAAGACATGTTTGATATCCAAGTTTTCCTTTTTTAGTTTAGAACTCAAGCTATGAGGCTATTGTTGTTAACAAACACTAGAACAATCTATACACTATAACACGATAAATCAGTCTAGTTTTTGTCATAGAACAGCACAACAAAATCAATAATCATTTAGGGAATGTTATTTTTAACATTCATATATATGTGAAAGTAAACCATTAAAACAGATTATTATTATTATTGTTGTTGTTGTTGTTGATATTATTATTATTATTATTGTTATTATTATTATTATTATTATTGTTGTTGTTGTTGTTGTTGATATTATTATTATTATTATTATTATTATTATTATTATTACAGAATGCCTCTCTGCATAGGGATTAGATTAGTCCTGCTCTGATGATGTACTTGCTCCCTGTGGTCACAGCAGATGAGGCCTCAGAGTTCACCAAAGTCAAAACTCTGTGACCCCTTGAAAGGAACAATAAGGATGTGGTGCTAGACAGAGTGTCGCAGTAAGGAGCTGTCATTCAAAAAGAACAGGCTGGTTGAAATTCACTGCCAAACGCTGAAGACATCTGGAGGCTCACGCCTGCAACATGACCTGACACTGTTCAGAACAGGGTGTCCCAAAACATGTAACTGTTCCAGGATCCACAGGCAGGATCTGCCAAAACACTGCCTCAGGACTAGCCCAAATTAGACACGTCCAAATTTGCATTAAGTTTTATTCACTGTGGCCTGTATTAGTACATAACTGAAGGTGTGTTACGTGAAAATTACTATTAATTGCATTATTAGTTGTTATAATGCACAATAAAGACTTTGTTAAGACAGTGTTATCAAACTATTCAGCATATTCTGTCATCAATTTCACATTTAGTTCATAATTAGCAGTATTTAATTCTACAGGCTATAGGTAGCGTCGAGTTTATTGCTGTTTTATGTGGATTACTGAGTAGCTAATTGTACAAGTTATAATGCATAATAAAACATAATATGTATAATCTGTGCAAAAGGCATTAATAAAAAAAACCCAATTAGACACTTATTTTTTTTTCTATGCGTTACGCTTACATTGCGACCTGCATTAGTACATAGTTGGAGGTCTATTATGTGCAAAGCACTAAGCAATGCATTATCACTGCAATAAATTATTAATTCTTAAATAATAAACTAAGAAAAGCAAGAAACTTCACACTTCTTAGAACTCATTGGAATAAATGCTGTCAATTATAATTGTGAAATATATATATTTTATAGTAAAAGACAAAAATATTTTTAACTTTTAAAGTAAATTAATTTAATTAGCTTTTGTTACAAGTGATTTAGGAGCATTTGGTCCATGATGTATAAAAATACAAAAAGATAAAAATAAAATAAAAATTGGCAATAATATAGTTTTTGGACAGTGACAATGTGCTGAATGTCTTAAAGTGTTTACTGTGCATTTTAACAACTAATAATGCAATTAGTAGTGCTTTTCTCACAACACACATCCAATTATCTACTAATGCAGGTTATAATGAATAAAGCTTAATGCATAGTAAATAAACAATTTAGAAGTGTCTAATCTGAGGATTACTGAACAAAGTACAAGACCCAATTTATCTATACATAACAATATGTTTTTCTTATAAAGTGATCACATGTTGTGATACCTTATACACAGTTTATACACATTGCTTTCTCATATATACAATTCACCTTGAAAGCATGTTATTACATTATAATGTATAATATGAACAACATGACAATAATTTTTCATTTTTAAAAATTGAGCCAAAGAATATTTTAGGACACTTTTTATTGTTTGTTTTTCATTACACTGTGATACATGCAAATGAAAAACAAAATTTTGGTAAATGGATTTGAAATTAAAAAAGAACTCCTTATAATGCACTTTCTCACTCTCATAACTACAATACTTACAAATGCATTTTACAGTAGCGTCCAAATAATTCACTGTGATCGCTTATAAGCCTGCAGTTTAAGGGGGTAACAAGGACAGCACAATGAACCAGCAATGGTCATTAACTAAACATTAGTGATCGAACATGCTAAAAAGGAGAGAAACGTTAAGAGGAAAAATTTATAAATACTAAAAAGAGGAGCAGAATGTTTTACAGGATGCTACTTTGGGAAGCTCTCATCTTCATTCGTGAGCTGTTGAGCAGTTTAACCGAGAGACAAATACTGCAGTCCATGTGACTCCCTCACACCTCAGATCGGAACCCCAAACAGCGAGTACAAAGTGGCCAATGCTAAAGCCCATACCAGATCAGTGACGAGAGTGAGACAAGATCGGATCAGGCGCATTTTTGAGTCAAAAGGTCACTTCAGAGATTAGCCCATACAATAGATGCTTTGCAGTCAGAGTCTCTGTTGTTTCTTGAATGATGCTGATAATGATAACAGTTCTCCTGGTGACGAAGATAGTGATGATGACCATGATGGATGATTATTTGGCTCGATTGTGGAAGAGTGTGACAGGGTGCTCACGGGCCTTCAGCTCACGTCGTATCTGGCACCAGGAGCACGGGCCACAGCAGCAGGCATACACACAGTCATTACATATGGAGTCCTGAGGACAGAGCAAGGCAGGAAGATGAGTAAAACTGGCCAAGGCACTAACACACAGTCTGCTGACATAGTAAATTCAGCCCTGATTTGAGGTGATAGATAAAATGTCTATATTACAACAAAAATTGTATTAGTACATTTTATTCTATAAAATTCATCTCTGATTTGAAGGAGTTCATACAATAAAAGGTTCAGTTAGCTCCAGCAGCGTCTACAATCATATGCAACAGTTTCAACACTCCTGGTCAAATGTCATGTTTAGTTGATTTTCTAAGTAAACAAAAAATATACATCTTCCACAGAGAACACACTTCTGCACAGTTTAAAGCACAATTACTGTTATTTGCTGATTTTAACATTTTGGAGGAAAAAAATAATAATAAAAAAAATAAAATATAAAATGTGGCCTGTGCAAATGTAATGGCACATGCCATATTTTATTTGTTAAACTCACATAAATAGAAATTGTGCACTAGAATTTGCAGACAATTGACATATTTAATTGTGTTCACTGTGTAGGATGAGTTAACCCCTTAATAATCAAGGTTTATTTCATACAAAGGCTTATTATTCATAACTACAGGGACTTTAATGCAAACTAATGGAGCTATTCTTACATTATAGAAATATGTTTCACTTGGAAAATCAACAAACTGTAATTTGACCAGGGGTGTTCAAACTTCTGCATACGACTGTACATATGTTTAGGTTTTTTTTATGTAAACTGCACATTTCGTCACTGTCAGAACAAAACCATATATCCATTTTTTGTTGTTTTTTCTCCATATATATGATTATGTTATATGTGAATATATTATATGTGAATAAATTATATTATATTATATTATATTATATTATATGCCTCTGACTGCAAGGTGTGTAAACTGATAAACTGTCAATTAGCTGGTATAGGAATGAAGAACTTGAACAAAGATGAACCACTGTGGAAGTCCCATTCTGAAGCCTGTTTACCTCGATGCCATAGGTGCGTCTGACGGAGACCCTCATGGCCATGGTAATGGGGGGGATGAGGCCGAAACTCTCCAGCAGAGGCAGACACAGACACTCGCCATGGTCTCTGGCAGTGATGCAGGCAAAACAAGGGAAGCACCACAATGCAAAGCAACCTGCACATGTACAAAACATAACTCTTAAAAAAAAACTCTTTAAAAAATCTCTTAACAATAAAGATTTCTAAATGGTTCTTGGCTTGGAGGAATAAATCTGTGAAAAAGCTTTAATTATATGGAGGTCGCTTAAATTTCAAAAATGATTCTTCACATTTGCATCATTCACAGAAATGATTCATTAAGTTAAGCAGCCAATAAAAACCATTAAAGGACAAGAATATTAGAACAGAACTGTATTCAACAGAATTCAGTGCCAGAATGAGAGTGACCGGTTCTGATGAAATACTCACAGTCATTGACGTTGTCACACTCGCAGATGCTGGAACTCCACTGGTCTGCACCTGGAGCCACTACAAGTGGCTTGGGCTGCTGGATGACCATCTTGGTTGCCATGGTTAATGATCTAAAATAATAACAATACTACTAAGATAACACTGAAGGAAATCATTAAAATATTAAAAACTACTACTAAACTACTAAAAATACATTTTGTAGAAAGACTGTTGATCTAACTACTGATGCTGTACATTGTGCCAATGAAACAATTCACTTATTCTTCAACTTCTGAAAACCGCTGACAGAATATTCTACATTTTATAACTGCTTGAGTAATTATGTTGTGGTACATGTAAAAAGTTCAGTAATAAACATACTAGAAAAAATTAAGGTGAAGTGAACTTTAGCTTGTCTGTATCAGTATGCTGTGCTATAAGGTCTCAGTGTTAGTTCATTGTGACTGTAGTGTCTTACCAGATTGATGTGCCAAGGCAGAAGAGAGAGCTGGAAGGTCAGGTAGACTGAGGTAAGAATGACTGAATCTCTGACCAAAAGAATGCATGGCTTTATATGTTGCACACACACACAAACATACAAGTGCGTGCGCACATAGACTGTAGAGTATGTTCTCAGAAGATTAGAATCAATAGGTATCTGCTGCACCACAGCGGGTACGATGGGTGGCATTTTTTCCATAGATTTGGAGGTGATTACCTGCTGGTCTGACGTCTAGCTTTATTAATCATAGTGAGGGTGTAACCTGACAATAATATGAATGTCTGCTTATTGGAGGACTAAAAGAATGAAAAGCATCAAAAAAGTCAAATATTAACCTCACATTCACTTGTTTCTTGTCAGGAAAACATCTCATTAACAAGACCTCATAATCTAATTAATGAATGAGAGCATACTTAGTAGAGCAAAGAGTACCCAAGTACACTATAAAGATCTACACTCTTAAAAAAGGGTTCTTTGGTAAAGGCAGTGGTTCTATATAGAACCATGAACACCCAAAGAACCATTTGCATGCTTAAAGCGCTCTCCACGTGGTAAAATTGTTCTTCAGATTGATGGAAAAGGTTTTATGTGGTTTTATATAGCACCAAAAAGGGCTCTACACTCTTACAAAAGATGGTTCATCACGGGTTCTTTAGTAAAGTAATTGGTTCTATATAGAAGCATGAACACTCAAAGAACATTTTGCATAATTAAAGTTTCTTTGCATCATGAAATGGTTCTTCAGACTGATGGAGAATGTGTTGTATATGGTTCAATATAGAACCTTTTTGAAAATGGTTCTATATAGCACCCAATAGGGTCATTCTGTTGTTACGATGTCAAGCTTGCAATAATAGACAAACACTTTTGGGTGCTATATAGAACACTTTTCAAAAAGGTTCTATATAGAACCATCTGTAGCACATTCATGCACTTGGATACATTTTGCATCAATCTGAAGAACCTTTTAATGATGCAAAAAACCTTTTAATCACGCAAAAAAGGTTCTTTGTGTGTTCACGGTTTTATACAGAACCCTTGAAGAAACTTCTTTTTAAAGAGTGTACTATTGTAAAGATATCGAGCTTTTAACAATAGAAGAACCCGTTTTGGTGCTATATAGAACCACTTTTAAAAAGGTTCTATACAGAACCATATGCAACACGTTCTCTATCAATCTGAAGAACCATTTCATCATACAAAGAACACTTTAACCATGCAAATGGTTTATTTAGTGTTCATGGTTCTATTTAGAATTGTTGTCTTTACTAAAGAACTCTTGAAGAACCATCTTTTTCAATAGTATACACAAATGCCTCTCACTTGAGACTTGAGGTATTCGTGAATAGGAGTGCTTATCTAGGATCACAGTGCTCTTTTTTTACGTTAACCTACTCTGACAGGAACAGATTCTTGATCAAGCACTCCTGCTCTGATAAGCTTCATGGATGTGGGCCCTGGTACATACCTGACCAGAAGAGTTTTTCTAAAGATGCTACTCTCGATTTAGCTTTCAGTGGAAGTGGAAACAGTGACTCCTGAAGATACCATATTAAAAATGGACTCTTGCCCTTCAAAATTGCATAATTAAATAATGAAGATGTAAACAAAATCATTTAGAGTTGTTTGATGTGACTGGTTTGATGAGCCATTCCAGAGAAACCTACTGAGTCAGATTTCTTCACAGCTGTGGTGATAAGAACCAAATGTCTGAAGCCTTTACTACCTCTAAAAACTACCACACAGAAAATTATTATATGAAATGGTTGAGAATAAATTACTGGGTGAGTAAGACGCTGCAAATTGCTGTAACGCAAAGCAGTACCCAAAGTCAACTTATTTTTTGATTTACCTCTACTTTACTGTCACCTACATTACAGATAAAAACTCAGAAGATGTGTAGGTTCACTGACAATTTTGAACAGCAAATAAAACTACCATTTTGGGTTGTAAACACAAGTTGTGCAGGAAAAATCCATCAGGGCCTTTCAATCAGCATGTTTTAAATCTAACACACTTGTTCCAGGTACTCAGTGTTATTTATGGCTTAGTTCAGGTGTGTTGGGAGCTGAGATAGAGCTAAAATGTGTACTGGCTGGAGGGCCTGAGGACTGGACTGAAAGAAATATAAACTGCACCATTGAAATCCTCCTCATATCAAAGTCAGTTACAACAATTTAAAAAGTACTAATTAACTATTAAGAATAAAAATAAAACTAATTAAAAAATAATAAAATAAGTACAGTATCTACGTGTGAACGTATAATTACAGTACATGAGCTGTGTTGAGCATGCCTAAAACATCTCTAGGTGTAGGAGGCTCCCCCTGGTGGCTGTAATCAGTAATGGCAATATTGCATTGCCCAGTTCTGTGAACCTACTCTAAATATCCCAAATCAGTACCACGGCAACACATCATTCAATTCTCTGGGGTCCCACAATGCACAAGCACATTAAAAATCTTCATCGTACATTTCTTTTAATAACCCCGATGTTATTTGATGTACAGACTCATTTCACAGTGGAAATCCATGCTTAAACCTTAAACATGCATTTATATAAAATTAACTCTTCTCTTTCTTTTAAAGTACAGTAGTGCTGATTAGCTGAGGTGATGTTTATTAGTGTCATGCTGCCCTCGTCAGGTGAAAGGATATTACTACAGCTACTCCATGAGTCTGGCTCTACATTACAATGAGGACAGCTCCCTCTAGTGGTTATATTTTGGGTCCATACATGTTCCTAATAAAATGTCTCTGCTATTACAGTTGCATTGTTTGTACTGAGATATATTTCCAAAGCATTTGATATTGTTTATTCTGTAATTACTGTATAACTATATATAATAAAAAAAATTGTAATTTCTAATTGAGGGTATTAAAGGGTTTTGAGTATCATGGGTATTATAATGACGACGATGATGGCGATGATGAAGGAGGGTCTTTATTTTGCTCGTCTGTTGACGAACGTGACCGGTTCCGTACCACGTATGTTCATCTCTCGTGACATTTGGCACCAGACGCAGGGACAGCAGAAGAATGAATAGACACAGTCATTACAGATAGATCCCTGAGAGAGAGAGAGAGAGAGAGAGAGAGAGAGAGGTTTGGTTTAAATGTGTTAATGACCTCTAACAGAGAACATTTTATAACATCCAATGAATCATATATACAGACACTGCAGTAGATCCTAGCTGGCTGATCACTTAAACAATTCAACAATTTAAACGAATACAGTGTTATTAGCTTCTTCAAATACAGTGGACCTACAAAGTATTTGAACACTTTAACCATTGGTGTATTTTAAAAAAAAAGTCTTCGAGTTACTTCATAAAATGTTTAAAAAAAATGATGTTTGTTTCAGAGATAAATGCTTTTAGCACATCAGACTGATGATAGACTTTTTTGTGTGGGGACAACCTGTAGATAGATTCCAGACTGCACTGTGTGTACAGCAGAGAGGTGCTGGGCCTGTTTTCCTCACAGTGGTGTCGATGAGCTTGTGTTCATTGATGGGATAATGAACTCAGAACGAGACCATGCTCAAATGAATGACGTTCTAAAATAAATGTCAATTGCTTTGACATTTTTGTTCCCTATGTTAATAATTTCAATACACTTTTAAGCATGGCACGAATGTCCAAATAGTTTTTGAGGCCACTGTACCTGTTACCTGTAAAGGTTACCTGTACATAACACTTAATTGCATTTATTTTCTTGCTGTCAGTTGCATGCATTGCTTTCCAGTGTGTGAAAGCCGCAGTAACATATTAGGCTGAACAACTGAACTTTGAAGCTGATATTCCCAGTCTTTGCTGTTGCCATAGTTACCACTCTGGGGTTTTGTAGAGCAGTGTAGGACATGAAAGAGTTCCTGAACGTGAATACATGCACTCCTTCATGATACACCCCCTTCACCCTGTCCTAACCTCAATGTGGTAGCGCTCGCGCACTGATGTCCTCATTGCTAAGGTTACTGGTGGAACGAAGCCAAACTCGAGCAGTGGTAAACACAAACACTCGCCATGCTTCTTGGCTGTGTGGCAGGCAAAACAAGGCAGGCACCAGAACGAGAAACAACCTAGAGCACACAAGATCACAAGATAAACGTTAGGAGGTTCAGGTCAGAGAGAAAGCCTTTCAGTATCCAGTTACCATGTTGAATAAGACAACACAGTTTGACAGCTAATCACTGCTTTAAAAACACCTCTATACTTAACTTCATCATCAAAATTAAATGACAAATTCTACTGAAAAAAATGTCTTTTTAAAATTTCATTAATGCTTAAATTCCCAGGCTGATCCAACTCTCCTAAAAATAAAGGTTCTTCAAAAAGAGTTATTCAGAGCGATGCTACAGAGAAACCAGCTTTAGTCCTCTAAAGAACTGAATGATTTTTCAGTTTCAACATTTGACATGTTGTCTTTATACTATTTTTAATTAAATATGGGGTTTAAATGATTGGCACCTCATTGGGTTCAGTTTTTAATTACATGTCCCAACTTGGAAATGGGGCTATATTATTATGTTTTTTTTATGGTATATTATTCCAGCAGCCAGGGCAGCGATGAAGTTTATGTCTTGTCATTAAAGGTCATGTGGCCAGTCCAGTGAGTAAATGATACGTGACATGCAAAAAGTACTCCATGGATATTTAATGTGGATGAGCAGGTTTCGCTTATTGCAGGAAATCTCGGTATTTTTCCATCAAAACTTCACATAAAGTTTAAAAAACCCTCCAGTGGCTTATTGGTGTAGATGTGTGTGCCTCAGCTAAGATCAGGGTTTGGATCATAGTAACCATGATGTCATTTGGATTATCACTGAATGTTAGCAAGAAGGACTTTTACTTTCCCCACAGTCTGTTCATTGTTATGACCATGATTGTGTTTGGGAGGAAATGGCCTTTTCATTTTTCTAAGGAACAAATTAGTCATGAATTCAGTCTGACAGCATTCCCCTCTTAGTGTGGTCTACTCAGGTTCAGAATTTTCTACAGCTGTGTGCAGATCTTTGGCATTTTCTAGTATAAGGGAGCTTTCACTCTAAACAGATCTCCCTCCAAATCTCAACCTGATTAAATTAGCAAATAACTCAGGGGCAGTATAATTGGCTGCACTATAATTAAAATGAAAGACAGATTCCTGTAAAAACAGGGGGATTCCTGCAAAACCTCCAGTCACACTTCTACACCACTGACTGCACCAGTGACAGCCTTTCTTTTTTAAAGAATCATCAGGAAAACATAACATTTTGTGATTATTGTCCATGCACAGCAGATGCACCAGATTAGGATGAAAATGCTTTGATTTTCAACTGATTGTCTTATAGATAGTGAGTCGGATGATGTAGCATTAGCTTCAGTACAGATTTTACTTTCATTCATTTCTACACTGTGAAGAATTCATGTAAATTCACAACTGAAGCAGTGTAGTAAACTACTGCATTCCTTGAATAGAGCAGATTGCTGTAAACGGGTAGATGCAAACGGTCAGAAATATAAGGCAATCGTCTTATCATAAATGTTGGATTTTGTGCACTCTTGAGCAGACTCTGAATATTGCAGTGATGGTGGCAGAGCTTCTTCGCATTCCTTGTTGTTCTGTTAGTCTTCATTAATTTGTTTTTTTTTATCTACAGTCCATTTCACATGAGCTTTTGGTTTTAACATTATTCCTACCACAAAGATACATTTGAATGTATTTTTATATGTTTTGTTATTCCAACCATGATGGTGTTTTGTGTTTCAGTAGTTCATCCTGTAATGTTAGTGAAGTATTATCTGATATCTGGTCCCTAAAAATAAAGGATTCTTTGGAGTGATGACCTACAAGAACCACTTTTGGTTTTTCTATGAAATCACACCATAGCACCCTTTTTGGCACTTTCTGGGGTAAGTCCACCAAATTGAAACTTGCAGTCAGAGTTGTTCACAGTGTTGGTGATAGGAACCAGATGACTGAAATGTATATTGCCTCTGAAAGCTCCCTTACAAAAACTATATTATGCAGTGTCAGGAATCTGCTGCCTGAAGCCTGAGACATTGTTTTGAGATGAGAATTTAGCCTAAAACATAGTTTTGAAATACATTCATGGTTGAGAGCTGCATACCGTGAGTCAAAATAATCGCCATAGAAACATTTTTGTCAATATTTCCTGACCAATAATAAGTGCCAATGACCTGTCATGTGACAAAGAACAAGAATCTCCAGGCATGCAGTAGTGTTGCGACAATATTCCAGCAGTCAAGCAGAAAGAGGAGATTCAGGTCCTTTAGCTACGCAGCACAGCTCTCTAAAAACAGTCATTAGCATATGAAGGATAACTCTCAGAAGGACCATCTGCACAAAGTCGCCCACACAGCCACACACAAAACAGACAAAACTGTCAAACATGCATACAAATAAACTCACACTCAGGTACGTTTTCGCAGAAGTCACAGATGCCTGAGCTCCACTGGTTGAGAGGGACAGACTGGGGTTGCCGGTCCACTATCTTTGCCATGGTGTCTACACATACATACACATAAATATTTAAACAAGGACAATGACATTGTGCTATGACCATTGCTGTGACTTGTGAACCATTTTTGGCTGGTTTTCCACAGCCAGATTAAACATGATCTTAAACTAAATATGTTTTTTGGAGAAACATACAGACAATGCAGTTTAATCAAAGAACAAGTGTGATCCATGACCATGAAACCAGCCCTTTTTTGATCAGGTACCAGAAAAGATTCTACACATGATGCCATAGAAGTTCCATTTTTAATGGTACCTTAATGGTAATACTTTACTTTAATGGTAACATTTCAATAGACGCTTAACATACAGGTCCCAGAAATAACCCTCGAATTGGTAAATTTACATTATATGAGGGTTCATTATTCCTTCACACTCATACATCTCAAGTACAAACATGGTTTGTTTATTATTTATTATTAAGTTTATTATTAATGGAATCATGTAGCCACCTACCTGTGTGTTCTGGACAGCCGAAAGAGAAAGAGGAGACACACACATTTAAGACCTGATCACACTTCAAGGCTGCAGGATGAAGATAAAGTGATAGGTACACACACACTCTCTCACACACACACACCTTACAGTATGTGTCACTGGTCCAACTCGTCAGGTGTGTATACATTGGAGGATGCCATACTGTTGTCAGACTGGATTTGTCAGAGTGCTGTTTTTAAACCTTGACTGGATTCTCTTTTCACTTTGATTTATGAATTTGTTTATATAACCTAAATGGAATTGGTCCCCCCTTTGCAGCTATTATTTCCACTCTTCTGGGAAGCTTTCTACAAGATTTTGTAGTGTGTCTGTGGGAATTTTTGCCCGTTCATCCAGAAGAGCATTTGTGAGGTCAGACACTGATGTTGGACGAAAGGGCCTGGATCACAATCTTCATTGTAGTTCATCCCAAAGGTGTTCAATAGGGTTGAGGCCAGGGCTCTGTGTGGGCCAGTCAAGTTCTTCCACACCAAACTCACCCAGCCATGCCTTTATGGACCTTGCTTTGTGCACTGGGGCTCAGTCATGCTGGAACAGAAAAGGGTCTTCCCCAAACTGTTCCCACAAAGTTGGAAGCATAGAATTGTCCAAAATATCTTGGTATGTTGAAGCATTAAGATTCCCCTTCACTGGGACTAAGGGTCTTAGGCCAATCCCTGAAAAAAAAACCCATAGCATTATCCCTCCTCGACCAAACTTTACAGATGGCACATTGCAGTCAGGCAGGTAACGTACTCCTGGCAATCACCAAACCCAGACTTATCCATCAGGCCAACAGATAGAGAAGCATGATTCGTCACTCCACAGAATACGTTTCCACTGCTCCAGAGTTCAGTTGCAGCATGCTTTACATGGTTCCCCCCTGACACTCTTTGATCTTAGGCTTGTGTGTAGCTGTTTGTCCATGAAAACCCATTAAATTAAGTTCCTAATGCGCAGTTGCTAATGCTGATGTTGCTTCTAGAGGCAATAGGCACTGTGCGCTTAAGCACTCACCGGCCTCACTCTGTGAGTTTGTGTGGTCTAAACTGTCGTTGCTCCTAGACGCTTCCGTTCACAGTAATACATTCTACTACTCCACATTCAAGACATTCTACTGCCAGTGTTTGTCTACCAGGACTTCATGGCTATGTGCTTCATTTTATCCACCTGTTACCAATGGGAGTGGCAGAAACACCTGAACTCAATAACTAGGAGGGGTGTCTCAATACTTTTGTCTATATAGTACATGTCAATATAGCAGATTGAGTCCATCAATATGGAAATACTAAATACATAGTAGCGTCAGCGTAGAGTAAGACCCAGGAAAGGCCATGATTCCACCATAAGAACTGCTTTTGTTAAACACCAGGGCAGAAAGGCACATACAAAGCACTGAACTCGCGAAGGAGGTCACCTCTAACCACATGGTTCACACTACTGGTGGTTACACACTTACACATCTCATTTACAGAAATGATTAATTCATTGCTAGGTTCTCAAGGGAAGCTAAAGTGATTCTTCTATAGCATTGCTACAAATAACTTTTTTTGGAAACATTTAAGAGTTACTAATAATGTGATCTACCATTAAGGAACCATAAAGCCACAATTATGACAGTGAGAACTTGAGAAAATGGAAATGAAAACAGAAATCATTTACATCTTGAGTTAGATGGACTTGAGTTAGAGCACTTAATCATTTGCATATATTATTGCAATTATTATTATTATTATTATTATTATTAGTAGTAGTAGTAGTAGTAGTAGCAGTAGTAGTAGTACTGGTGGTGGTAATAGTTGTTATAAATACATTCTAATACTGTGTTTAATAAATGTTTTAGTGTTCAGTTAAGTCAAGTAAGCCCACACTTAAAAGCAGAATTATATGGGACTCATATAGTGATAGCATTTGTAGATCTGCTGAATGAAAGTTATTCACTGTGCTATGCCAATGTCACTTCCTGTTGACAATGGAGAATCTCAGTAGATTGGTTCAACTGCCAAATCTATTCATTTCTTAATTCTTGCAGAGCCTTTCTCATGAATGAATCCAGGCAGATTTAACTAGCTATCAGTCTAAATTAGGACAGTAGTGATCTAATAATTAACACAATAATAATATTAGTTCATTTACCATTGATGTTCATTATGCTTCAGGATTTCATTTCAATTGTTCATCTTGTATGCAATGTTCCATATTTCCTTATCAACATAAGCATCTTTTTAAGCTGATTTTATTTATGTTATACAATCAGCCAGAATGTTTGTTGGTGACGTAAATTCTACCCACCAAATGTAAATATTTAGCTACAGAAAACACAGGCTCTTGAAGGTTTGGGACCAATCACCCTGTCATCTCATATATCAAGAGTTTTATTAAGCTTTCAGAAAACATCGCCATAATCATCACTGCAGTCCTCTTAAACATGGACGTCCGGGCTCCCGAGTGGCGCAACCGTCCAAGTGTTGGCCCTGCCATCAGGAGATTGTGAGTTCGATCCCTGGTGATGCTACAGCCATCCGTAGCCGGGAGTCCGAGAGAGCACAATTGGCCTCGCTCTCTCTGGGTGGGTAGGATGGCCCCTCCTTCTCACCCCATCACTAAGCGCGATGCTAGTCAGCGCAGGCGTCTGTTAGCTGACGTAACAGATCTGGCGGTTGGCGCTTTCCTCCGAGCGCATTCGGCTGTCCAGTGACGTTGCATGAGCGGCAGCTCGAAAAGAAGCGGTGGTTGGCTTCACAGGTCTCGGAGGAAGCCTGTGTTAGCCTTCACCCTCCTAGCGTTGATAGCATCGTGTGATTGGGGGAGTCCTAACTAGCGGGTGGCATTGGAGACGACTAAATTGGGGAGAAAATTGGGTAAAAAAAAACATGGACGTCCAGGATATCAAAAAATCTGAAAATGGATAGAAAGATTTAAATATTTATACAAAAACACACACAAAAGAAAATTGGAGCAGAAGTTCTAACACATTGTCTATTTTCTCTTGCTGTCTCACACAAGCTACGTCCCCAACAACTTTGTACACAAATTGCAAGTGATGAAATACGTAAAAGAAAATGTTTGCAACTTGTTTCCATCCAACTGCCACTGAACAATAAAAAAATCTTTTGCGTTTGTTGTAAGAGGCATGTGAGGGAAATCTGTCACGTAATACTAAATGCATGTTTAAATGCATGATTTTTCTCAAATTAATTTACAATATCATAGGTGCTGACAAAGAATGGAATTTGACAAAATAATAGTTTTGTTGACATTCATAAAATATTATTGAAAATCCACTTCCATAGCTTACATCATCAAACTTTTTGAAGTGTTTTTATTAATTTCATTTTATAGAAAAACACTTTGGATGGAACCGTAGCAAAAGACACACAGACACACATGCATACGTTAAAATGTGTCAGATTACAATGAGTCAGGTTGTTCTTATCGCACACATTTTTACAATGCAGAAGACACGCATAGAATGCAGATCCTATTGTTTGAGTTTCTGTGTGTTAAACCTTTGCCTGACATTTACAGGCTAAACAAAGCATACTGAACAGAGAACGAAAACACTCCTCATAAAAAAGACACATACCACTCAGCAGCCTACAGTCCAACCCCATAACCTTAAAGCAACAACGAAACTGTCATGTAACAACATTTTAAATATGACACACCTACAAGAAACATGTCTCAAGCAGAAGAGAGGAAACATCTCAAGCACACAGAGATATGCTTTTCCAACCCCTCGAACCATAGACTAAGTTATTGTTATCAATACAGTAATTGTCAGTAGCTGCTATACATTATCGTTTGAAAACTCCAGCTGTGCATACATTTCATGATGAATGGACCAATAGAAATGGTCCAAAATCACATAATAATTCCATACATTAATAAATACATCCATACATAAACTTACATCACACGTTAAGAAGGTTTTTGCCTTCTCCTTTGAGGGTAACACTGTGATACAAGGTTTTGGTCTGTTAGTTATGAACACTAATCTGTAACTTATGTAGCTCTGAGAATCAGGAAGTGAAGTGTGCCCCGTTTGAAATAAAGGCAGATACACAGTATAAATGTACCCTCAAAGGTACAACAGTGGTTTTAAGGTCCAATTATGTGTGTAAATAAGTTTTTCCTAGTGGAAAGGGATGTATTTGTACCTTTTCATAACCTAATGTTTTAAAACAGAACAATAAAATAAAAGCCTGGAGATGAGATGGGGTGTGTGGAGTCAGTACAGCTTTGAAAATATAATTGCAATGGATTGTGATACAATTATGTTCTCTTGACTAAAGGCACTGAGCCCAACTGTTTTACGCTAAAAATGCATTTGAATAATTTAAATCTATTGAAGCTTCGTTTAAGCAGAGATTTCTGTTAGAGACTGGAGTTGATTTGTGTGGTGCGTTTATAAACGCTCTGTTTTCTTCAGCTAACCTGGACAGACCAGTTATCAGTCAGCTTTTACTGACCTAAAATATGCCCATTCATTTATCACCTACCCTTCCCTCCACCTCCTCCCCACCACCTCGCTCACTCACTCAGTCACTCTCTCTCTCTCTCTCTCTCATTTTTCTCTCTCCTCACTCTATCTTTCTTTCTCATCCACACACGTCTCTCTCTCTCTCTTTCTCTCTCTCTCCGTTGAAAGTATGATAATATCTTGCTTTTTAAGAGCTGCTTAGGTGTTTCAGTTTTGAGTAAATGTCTTGTGTTTTCTTAGAGAATTTTCAGCGGAGGAGTAAATCTTCAGGTTTCAGTAAGGTAAAAGGTCTGTAAGCTTTTTTGTTACATTTTTTTTTGGTTTATTGACTTAAGTGTTAAATCTCTCTCTCTCTCTCTCTCTCTCTCTCTCTCTCTCTCTCTCTCTCTCTTTCTCCATAGCTAACAGCAAAAGGTTGAGACAAAAAATCACAAAATTCTTTCACAAACTCATGCAGTAATAAAACACTCTCTAATGGAACAAAGTGCTCTCCTTTGCATTGCAGTTTGCCCGGATCTTTAAACCAATCATTGCTGCTGCTGTGGTACAAGTCCCAGTATTCTAAATGAGGTGAGAGTGGTCCAGGTAGAGAAGGGCAGTGCGGCGTGTTTTGGATGAGGAAGAGGAGAGTGATGAAGACTGGATTTTGGCCAAGGCGGCTGTCCGCTTCTTGATTTCTCTGGAGATCTGACACCAGGACAGAGTATAACAGCAGCAGCCGTAGAAACAGTCACTGAACACATTGCCCTGAGAGGGAGGGGGAGAGGGAGAAGGAGAGAGAGAGGGAGAGTGGGAGAGAGGGAGAGAGGGAAAGAGAGAGAGAGAGAGAGAGAGAGAGAGAGGCGAGAGAGAGAGAGAGACATTATGATTTATGTCAAGTAAAATAATGCTGCCAGTATCTGACGCAGTAAGTGAAAACTCAGTGCCTGCAAGTTTCTGTTAAACTCCTCTATAAACAGTCAGTAAATCAGAATAAAAGAGCACCCTCTTCTGGTGAAGTTCATCAAATCTTTTTAGTCTCCCAAAACATTTTCTATTGTTGTTGTGCCAACAGTCAGGCAAACAGATAATACAATTAAAAATACAATTCAGTTCAATTAGGTTCAATTCAAACTGCTCTAAATTGCCATAAGACTGCACAGAAAGCTCTTGGACCGTTTTCAATAACACTTGCGTAAAAGCCTTCACTCTCGTCATAAGGCTGTTGCTACGTGTCTCTTTTGTCACGCTACCTTCAAACTCATGCATAACACTGATCTCTTGTTTTTCTTCTTTCGTGTTCTGAGGTCACAGTGAATTGCACAAGGGCTCCGCAACTGAGAAGCAATCAGTAACCCAGCACTATACACACCACTGCCTCTGTAACTTTCAAAGCACAGTCTTCCACCACTGACTCTTATACTGTGAAGATAAAAAACAGATTGCACACTTGTATTCGCAAATGAATGGACTAATGCCTTTTTTGAATGTCAAATGAACCTTGCCTTCAACCATGTAAATCTAGACAACAATGATGAAAGAAGCCTTTCTTTGAAGTTCTTACATAAGAAGAACAGAACAAAGCTCTTATTTCAATTACAGCAAAAGTAAGTGAGCAGAATGTTCTCATAGACCTCTGAGTTCATATAAACTTCAGCATCCAGATGAGCCCTGAGTATTTGGCCATGAACGGCATTTTTTGAGAATTGTCCTTATCAAACTCTGTGGTAAACTGAGTTCCAAAGCATTTCATTTCTGTGTCATTAAGTAGCTGAAATAACTGAAACTGAATGACGTGTACTAATTATTTAAAACCACAGTTTATCTTATCCGACAGATTTCACAGGAGTTTTTCGGACTTTGTCGTTTGTCTTTACACACCAGCTCAAAAAGAAGGTCTGGCTTGATGTTTAGGTCCGAAGTGCAAAATAAACATTATACTGATGAAGACACGATGAGAATAGTAGATAATTCACTTACATCCTTTGGAAGACACGTCCTTCACCTAGTTTTTACTGAGTTCCTTTTGAAAACTGTTTCAACACGCTCGCCGTCATCTGATTTTTTTTAATGATTTAATGATTTTTTTTTTAAATTTACTACTATGGTTCTTATTACTTTATGATTTGTCCACTTGGCAAGGGTCCGAAACACAACACACATTACAAAAAGTTCTTCCACACATTGCATGCAATTACACATCTGCAATGAAAACTGGACTTATTCTCAACTCATACGAGAGCAGTGGAAGCTTGGTCCTGCCAGCAATTTAAGGTGGTCCTAACTTAAGTACATTTTACACAATTGAGCTATGTAGAATGTATATATTTTGCTTTTTATTATGTGTGGACATTTTTTGATCCTAGCAGTAATATTTTTGGAGTGGGGACCTATTAATTACATGAACGTAAGAACTTTTAGTGGCCAATTATTGTATGTTCCAGTAATTCCATGAATTTTACATTTTACATTCAGTATATTCCGTTTGCCTCTTTGGGTTTCATACTGTTTACGGCAAAACTTATCTGATGTTGACTTTAATACTGGAAAACAAAAGGAAGAAAAAAACCTAAACCAAATTCATTATGCACTAGCATATATTTGCCATTATGGCCCCAAATACAACAAGATTTCACCAGTATTACCAACATTTTCATTCAGTCTGTTCTGTTTTTATTGGTACTTAAAATGTGTGACTTCCACCTCATACTGGATGCATATTATCCACCAACCTGTATGTTCACAAGCATGCTGATTTGGTATACATAGTAGAATTACACTGTAAAAAATGGCTCATCAGATCAGCCTAAAAAAATACTTTTTATGGTAAGAAGTAAATTAACTAGTTTTATTCAACCTAAATAAATACTTTGAATAAATGATTCTTTCAATCAATGTAATTTTTTGACTCAAATAAAACTCATTCAGTTGCTTGTTGCCACATAAAGTAATATTTTTTAGGTTGATCTGATGAATGATTTTTTACAATGCACGCTGCTGTAATCAGTTCCTATGAATTTTCTGATAAGCCACCTACATCAGCAATGATATCTTTATCTGCTTTCACTTATCAGGAGCTTACAACTGTTGTACTTTCCTCCACATGTGATCTTGACCCTGTTCCTGTGTGCAAAATTAAATTTAGACTACGTTTTTTTGTCAACAGGCGCTTTTCCTGATGTTTTTAAAGCTGCCCTTGTGAAGCCTCTACTAAAAAGGAGTAGCATGGTTCCTTCCATATGCAATTATTTCAGATGAATTTCCTCCTTTTGTAAGTAAAGTTTTTGAAAAAGTTATTTTCAAACAAATATGCATCTATACTAAAAAGAAGTTTTTGAACTTTGAACATGATGCAAATATGTACTTCGGTTCCACATTCCAAAGAAAATATTAAGTTAATAAAGTTAATTAGGTTACACATAGTAATTTTCATAGCTATGCTGATGATACAATATTACATATTTTCATTCCTTCTCAAGACGCTTACCAGCTGCGTTTTAGGCATTTCTCAGTGAATATCACAAAGTTTTCTACAAAGAAATCAATAAAAATCTAAGGTACAAATTTGTAGAGCCCTTTGCATCATGTCCCAAACCTGAAGTACAAAGAGTTCAGTTTTATCCCGCATGTAAAAGCGGTTAAAGAAATATTGCGAAAGTTTAGTCTTATCTATCACATGCAGAGAAACTTGTTCATGCTTTTCTTATAAGCAGGGTGGATGACTGTAATGTTCTTCTTACTAGACCTCCTACAGTGTAAAACTTGGCTCATAGGACCAACATAAAAAAAATGCTTCATGTGGTACCAAGTAAATTAACTAGTTTTATTCGACCTAAATAAATACTCTAACTGAACAATTCTTTTAATCAATGTGATTTTTTGAGTTGAATAAAACCCATTCAGTTGCTTGTTACCACATGAAGTAATTTTTTTAGGTTGATCTGACAAGCCGTTTTTTACAGTGTAGGAAAACACTACATCCTGTATGACTCATACAACATGCAGCAGCATAGAGCCTAACAAGAACAACGAAAAGAGAGTTTAAAAAGAGCTACACTGGCTTCCTGTATCTTTTAGGATAGATTCTAAAGTTTTTTATTAGTTTTTAAAGCTTTAAGTGATCTGAAATTACCTCACATAATCTGTTTATATTCCAACAGGGGATCTTAGATCTGCAGATACTGACTTTCTGTAAATACCTTCCATTAAATACAGAAAATGTGAAGAGACTCTTTCTGTTACTATGCTTCTAAATTGTGGAATCAATTCCTGCTCTACTGCTCTGTAAGTAAAGTTATTAGTTGTCATAATTATTGTTAATTGCTTCCACATGTGTGGCAAGCAACAAAGTGCACAGGAGAAAAAAATTCACTCTTCTCTTAGAAAAAAATAGTTCGGACTAGCCGTCTCTATTTGTGCATATCACTGACCAGGTGTGGCTCATATGAATGGACTAGCAGAGCTAAGCCCTCCCTTTCTTTTAAAGAAAAAAGCTATTAAAAATGGATTCATTTTTAGCATCCATATTGTTTCACTTGCTGTTAACAAATGATTAGAAATTTTTTTGATTATTATTTTTAGGGCTCCTGTGAAGTCTAAGAACATTAGCACCACCAAAAGGTTGTAAATAATGTACAAGTTGGTTGAAATTGGGGATTTCCCTCTAGCTCAAACTGTAGATTCACTTATCCGATCTGTGATTCTGTGTCAAGTGTGTTGTGATCTATTATACAACATGAAACACCCCTGAAGTTCTTAATCTGTTTGGACTAATTACTTGCGGTCACGACGTCCAGCCCCACCCTTTTTCAGTCTGCAGTCAGTACTATTAGGGGTGAACACATCTGGTTCTAAACCCAGATTGGCCTAGACATGCTTTAAGCCGTCGTAAAATGCTGCATATTCACTCACATGAACGTGAACTTTTTAATTTTGTTTACACTGAAAGTCAGATCAAATTGTCAGCATGTCATTACGTGATGAGGTTTACTGCAGAGACTTTTAATGTAAAGCCTACATTTATCCAATTTCCACAACTGGAGTAATGCTAATTTCTATTAGTGCGCTTAAGGGGTTTGCAGTTCAATGTTAGTGTCAAGCTAGCAGTGGTGCCATATCAGCTGTCCGTGGACATTTGGAGCTTGTAACTAACTTTTTTTTGTTTGTACATTACTGTTTTACAACGTTCTTGAATAATGATTTGAACTTAAATCTTCTCATGTTCTTTTGTAGTTAGTAGGTAGGTAGCAGTATGTAGATACATGCAAAGCTGCTATGAAAGGTAGTGTGATTGTTCTTTTAGATTGCTATAGCATTAGGTAATGGTTTACATCAGCATTCAAACATTTAAGTGTGGCCAGTTGCAAGTCTGACAGCTCATTTCATTATTTAATTCCTGTAGCTTGAAGTGGTTCCCAAATGTGATGTTACAGTGTGCATGCCATTGATAGGTGTTACTTTTTTGTATGAATTTTTATGTATGTAAAACAATGGTTTCAAACATTCATTCATTCAAACATTTACACCCTAAGAGTTATAAGAGACAAGTTATTCAAGTCTGGGCAGGCATGAGTCATTTTGTTGTTAATGACAGTGACGGCCAGTCATACTTTTGCCATAGTCAAGACCTGAATGAATATATATATATATTTATATATATATATATATATATATATATATATATATATATATATATATAAATATGTCCCAGTCTCAGTCTTGACTTGACTATGGCACAATTATGACCACCTGCCACTGTCTTTAACAACAAAATGACTCATGCCTGCCCAGAACCGAATAACTTGTCTCTTATAACTCTTCCCCATATAGCTGGAATAGGGTGTAAATGTTTGAATGAATGAATGTTTGAAACCATTGTTCTGTGTGGTTAGGAAATATCCCAGCACAATAAGAATTAAATGTGTAAAGAGGAAGCTGCTGAGGGTTTCATTTACTCTTGTAATACAAAGCACAAAGTGAGTAATACAGCTCTGGGCCATCAGCCAATAACAGCCCCAGGCCAGCTTATCTACAACCCCCCATCCTACACACTGCATCAACTCATAGAGGTTTTAAATGTGGGAAAGTTTCAGTGTTTGCATTTTAAAGTGTTGAGGAGCTCTTATCAGAACTCGGTCTCTAAACGTCAACAACTTTTTCAGTAGCTGAGACGCTGGGGTGAAGATGTTTATCAAAATTCAAAAAGCATGAGACTGAAGTTTTTAAAACAGACAGAGGGAAGATATCTTGTATAGTGCACTGTAAAACTTATAATGTCAAATTGGCAGCAGTTTCTCCAGTAATTAAATGTTTATTTCCAGTACTCATACAGTATTATTAAAGTACAAAATTTTACTGTACTAAAGTATTGCTGTATCAAAATATAGTTTCTGTATGTTTTTCATTCACTCCTGTATTTCTATGTATGTGATCTAATGTGCATGCACAACTTACAACCTTACAACTTACAACAAGTTTTGCTATATTATGTACTACAACATTTAAAGATACAGACAAATAGAAATATTTATCTGGCTAGCTTCTAGTAGCAAATGATTAGATATTGATGCTTATGGTTTAAAGAACAATCACACTATTTTTCACAACAGTGTAGTTCTGTTTATTAATCCCACCATGAACTGAGCATCATATTACAGCAGTTACTGCGTTTACACCAGTCTTTGTAGTCTTTAAGACTACAAAGGCAGCGGTAACCGGATATCTAATACAACACTACCGGATAATTTAGTTAACTGAAATACAAAACACCACATGTAAAATACATCAAAAGTATATTTGTGGCAGGAAAAACATGTTACAAAACACGTAACAAAAACAAAATGATAATGTGAAATGACCCAATCTTCACCTCAGTCTACTGTATTTAAGGATTACAGTTGATTGATGCAGTGCTTACACTGTAAATTTACAGCAATCTATATTTTTACATTAATGTAAAGTAATGAAGGAATGTATGTGTTTTTGTTACCTCTATGCCATAGCGCTCTCTCACTGCTGCACGCATTGCGAGGGAGGCTGGAGGCACGCAGCCCACACAGTCCAGCAGAGGTAAACACACACAGCCCCCTGCGGCCCTGTTCGTCTTACACACAAATACAGGCAAACACCAGAGAGCGAAGCAACCTACACACACGCACACACAAGTTTACGTTTTCATCTTTTTGTCAGTGATGTATTTTCTATTAATTCATTACTGTATTGTTGCAGCCACATACAGCTCTGCCTAAACCTAAACCCTAATATTTTTACTATTTTACTACAATTGTTTCAGCAAAATTAGTTGATTTGTGATGAGTTGATGTCAAAACATCAGATTTTTCACTCCACACATACTATATGAGCATAATTTGTCATACATCACTGCAAAAGTCAAAAACCACACTTCATTTAATCATTTCCAGTCAAAATGGCCATTAAGTACAGGGTATTCAATTTTCAGCATCAGGGAAAAAAACAGAAAACATGTATTTACCAGAAAATTCAACAGAAGCATTGACAATGAAATATAATATGATATTTTTCAGGTGCACTTCATATTTATCCCAGCTTCCATTCATCAAGTTTTTTAAAGAAATCCACAGGAATATTTTTCCACCATTGCACTTTCTGCTTCTCATAATCTTAAACACATTCAGTGATGTTGAGGATGTCTGAGAACAGCAGCAGCTTCTTTGTTTGATTAACAAACTTTCTTCTTTTTTGTCTGTTTCTTTCTCTAGGTAACAGCTTCTTGACCGCTACACATCTTTTCAGACTCACAGTGAAAGGACGGACAGAAACAGCTGTGGATCATTACAGATCTGAAGCGAGAGTGGAGCTTGATTTTCTCCTCTCTCTCAAAGATGAAAGCTTTAATTACTGTTTATCTTATGGTGACAGTGTTGGTGGTCTACGTGGTCTTGCATGGTTGAAAGGAGTTTGATTTTCTCTGTATATTTTAACCAATTTTTAACTACAGTTCTGGAAATTCCTGTTTTTTCTCTTAATTTCCTTTGAATTTCCCTTAAATAATGCAAGCAGATTGTCTCATATCTAATCTCAGAAATATCTTCTGAAAAAAGAACAATTTGAAAGAAGGGTGATCTCTGACTTTTTCACAGAACTGTAGATATAGTTTTAAAATGTTGTTGAAAGCTGAGGCTAACTTACAATGTAAATGTTAAAATTTAGACCTGCTTCAGTGTAAAGCTTAAATCCGTGGCAGACAAGAGGAGCAGTAGACTACTCACAGTCTCCTATATCCCCATAGCATTCACACAGGCCAGTGCTCCACTGTCCATCCTGAACCGCTGGACCAGGCTGACACTGTACCACTGTTAACTGAAGAGGGGGTCTTTCTCTGTCCATGCTGAAATGTAGTCCTGAACCACCAGGTTGAAATGTCATTCAGATACCCATTTAGACAGCAGGGGTCATATACCCTGCTACCATTTCTTTTACACTATACCAAAGTTTACCATGATTTTAAATAACAATCCATCTCATCAATAAACAGAATGAGATGCCCTGTTGTCTTTTTAAGATGCTGTAGAGGTAATGAAACATACCTTATCAAGTCCAAGGGTCAATTAAAACTCAAAGTGTGGCTCCTCACAGTGTGAACTAAACAGCAGTGTTGGCCTCTATGCTTCCACAGATCATGTGATGTCTACTGTAAACAGGGGCCTGGAAAGATAGTGACCTTGGTGTTTGGTCTAGGATTCATTTGACACGGGCTACAAATGCTGAGCTGGATGTATTTATTTAGGGAAACAAGAAGCAGTTTTCCAAAGCTAATTCAAATGCCTTTTACCCCTTAAAGTTTCAAGCTTATTTCATACTAAGGCTTATTTTTCAGCAACACATGGAAAGAAATTGCAAACTGGCAGAGTTATTATTAAATTAGGATAGCAGTGAGCAATGGAAACCTCCTGGTCCTGGTCCAGGTCTTGGCTATTCAACAACCAAGTATCGTCAAATTAAAATTAAAGAATGGCAATTGTTTAATTCTAATAATATTTATTTTATTTTTTTATCACATTCCAGTTTAACTGATTGACTGGTAAACAGCAATAAATGCTACATATTTATAGGATAATTGCTTTAAGAAATTAAGCAAGCTACAGTCGGTCCAGTTATTTAGAAAAGAGTAATGTGTAATAAAACAAATTTGTCAGACTTTATTACTTACTGTAATACTTACATTTTTCACTGCCTATATTCTTTCACTTATGATATGCTGTCTTATAGTTATGTTTTTAAATATTTCATTGAGTTTCAACACAGTTTTAATGGAAATTTTACTATTATGTTTTAATAGAAAAATGATTAATCCTTAAAAACCCCAGGCTTACTACATACTAAGGCTTATTATTTAGTAACTACAAGGACTTTGATGCATTATTCTTAGGCTTTAGCAGTGTGCAATAAAACTTTGGGCCTGCCAGCAGACCCATGGCCTTGTAAGAGGTTTATTGTGTATTCACAGCTACTCTGTATTGTCTTCATTAACAGCAGCAAGATTGCTAATTCACAATATGCTGTTGTGTGAAGCTATCCAAATATCTGCAGAGAAGTAGGGTTTTTCTCATCTTAACCTGAAATGTAATCATCAGTCAGCGATAGCATCATATCATGGACTTTCAGGAACTGTGCTGATGTAAAGCTCAGATAAAGGGCAGTGTAGGAAATATGCTCTGCATCCGAAACAATTTTTTCTTTTTCCCACCGGAGTGGCCTGTGGGAACATGTTTAATGGGATGGTGTGGGTCTAAATCTGGTCAAACTGAACAAAAGCTTCAGTGGGGTGTATAAGATTACACCAGAGTTTCACAATAGCCCAAACAACTATTGAAGACTAAAGAAGTTAAGCACAAGACAAATTTGGCAATTTATTCCACATTTATTTATATATATATATCTGAAATCACATCACATTTATTTGGTTTCATTATGCAACTGCAACAAAGTACATAGGATTACCATTGTACAATATATTCAAAGCTAAAAAAGCTTTACAATCAGGGGTCAATACAAAGAAAAAAAGAATGAAAAATACAATAACTAGATATAGATGTCCTTTCCATCAGTGTTAGACATCATATTCACATATTTGGGTTCAGTTGAACATTATACTGCATGTAGCCAGAATGTTAAGAAATACAGACAAAGAATATTTTGCCACAAAACCCTCGGAAATGCAATTATGGGAGTTTAAACAGGGGTGGAAACCCTGTAGAGAATTCTATCACAGTGTCCCAGGATTTCACCTGAACAAAAGAAGAAACAGAACTAATGAGTTATTATAATTTTAAAAGGGCATGTCTAACCAACATTAAATTCTGGAATCTAAAAAAAAAAAGAACTACACATGCATTGTTTGATTACCTACCATCATAATTCTTCCAGCAGCGACACTGTGTGCCACCCCTGGGGAGGAAATGTCTGTGTATGCCATGGAAGTTGCCACTGTGCACTAGAGGAAAAAATGGGGGGTGGGGGGGGGGTGGAATTGCATTTACTGGAATAATGGAGCTCACAGCAATGATCCAACATCTAGTACAAAGCTTTTCCAGAAGAGCAAAGGTAGCAAATGAGGGAAAAACTCCCTATCAATACCCTTAATATCAGAAGAAACACTGGTTGAGCAGTTGTCTAGAAACCTTTGGACATATAGCAAATATTATATAAGGCTGAGTATAAGCTGGAAAGTCACAGCTCTGATCCAAAAAAAGAAACAGGATACTTACATATGCATTTAAAAGGTCCACTCTTAAAAAGTCTTTTTCGGGAATATACTAATGAATATAAAAGACAATGTTCAAAAGTCAGTTCAGTGATATACAAATTACAACATTACGTTACTAAACAAACACTAAAGATTTATACATAAAAATATGAGGTAACACTGAAAATTAACACTTTTTTGGATTGGGTACACATCTAAAGGCTCTTTTAAATATGTATGGCTATAATAAAGAATAGCACCTACAAACAGTTATACACTACAGTGGACAAGCCAAAATCCTACAGGTAGAGTAAAAAAATTTGAAACAAAATAATTCTGTTTTTACCTGAGTGGTTGCACAAAATAGTGGTCATTATGACCAAGGTAAAAATCATCAAGGAGAGCCTGGACATCCTTTCTCTGGTTTTGGTTCAACAACTGCAACTTAGCCTCTCTCATCCGTCATACAGTGGAGCAGAGGTTCCCTTCCTACTTTTATCCCCTCCGATAATGCGATAATGATCATCCTGCCTTCCTCACTGCCATGCCCTTTGAGCCACACAAGAAAGCCCCCAGTGGGTTTACAAACTGGTCCAAGCAAATAGGTCTCAACAGGTCCTCACATACCTCTGTCCTGAATGGATGGCTGAAAATGGAGGTATTTGTTGTGTGAATGCGGTAAACATAATCGCTCAAGAGAAAAAAATGTGAATTTTGATGTCTTTGGGATTAGATTGCAATCTGTGGCATTGAACCAACTGATTCGGGTTACAGTGTTATTCCTGAACTTTCGCTACTGGTTGGTTCGCCTTGTCGCAAAATCTCACAAGCTTGTCATGGAAGAAAAAGAAAGACATTTTATCTTTTCCTTCTCTGGCAACGTCTGTTTGCAGTCTAGTATTCTAAATGTTTTAATCGTAGCATTTATAAGAGGCCCAGACTGAATATCTTCAAGAGACAAAGATGTTTATGGGATGTAGACCTGCATGAAGCACAATCTCATTCCAGAAACATCTGTGTTGTTTGATGTGACACTGAACATCTCAGAGAAATCCATCCTTTCGGTTAGGCACACTTGTCCAATACAAAACATATTCCATTCTATATATGGAATTAGAGGTTTATAGACCTCTCTTTTATGAAGGTAATATCTGTAATGTCTCTTCTTATAATGCTAAATGAGGTGGGAGAACAAAAATGGATGAAGTAAACACAATTTAAATAAATGCTCAATAAAAGATTTCTTTGGGGGACACTTTAGGGTTTGTTATCTTAAAGCAATACACTACACTCTCAGAAAAAGGTGACAAAACTGTCACTGGGGTGGTGCCCTCAAGGGTCCATCTCAGTACCTTTAGTCAGGGAACATAATTGTACCATAATCTGTTTTAAATTATATTTTAAGTTGTATTGACTCCACACACCCCGTCTCATCTCCAGGCGTTTTGTTTTATTGATCTGTTTTAAAATATTAGGTTCTGAAAAGATATAAATATGTACTTTTTCACTGGGGAAAAACTTATTTAAGGTACACAATTGGACCCTAAAGCCACTGTTGTACCTTTGAGGGTACTTTTACATTGTTTGGACCTTGATGAACAGAAAATGTACCTGCACAGAACCTTTACTTCTCACAGTATACTTATTTATTCTTTCTTGAGTAATTTCCTTTACTAAAACTTTTACTTGTGCTCAAGTATATTATCACTACAGTAACAGTACTTTTACTTGAACAGAGACTTTCAATACTATTTTCAATACGATTTTCAATTTCCTCTATGCCTCTATGCCAAAAAGAGGATCATTTGAAAGGTTTGCCAAAAGAAAGCCTCTCATCTGCTCACATCTCGACTGGAACTGGGTTTTATAGTCAAATGGGACAAAAGTAAACACAAGAGGTGGATTATCCTAAAAAAGATACTGTGATGCATGTGGTGGAAATCTGATGTTCTGTGGTTGTTTTTCACAGAGAGGTACTGGTAATCTCAACAGGATACATGATATCATGGACCTCATCAAATACCAGGAGATTTTAGATCTGTCTGGCTCTTCCAAGACACAGTCATGGCTGGATCTCACAACTGCACTGCACACTTAAAAAGAAAGGTTTCTAGGAAAAAATATTGCATTGCTATACAGAACCTTTACATTATGCAGAGTTGTTTTAAAAGGTTCTTAACACTAAAAGGTTCTTTAGGGGATAAAAAGTGGTTCTGCTGAAGTAGTGCTCCAAGTAACCTATTTTCACAACTTTATAATTAGCAGTGTATCATATAAAACATCCTTCTAAGTCCATATTAAAGTCAGCTGCCTCACTATCCTCACAGCTGTCTTTACATTTTCACCATTACTTCTTTTTTCCTATTACTTAAATATTAATTTATGTGTTGCTCCAAGTAAAGTGACAAATGTATATGGTTGCCTTTATAAACAACAGAATTAAATCTGTACATACTGACAATATCTGTCTATTATCTTAATCTCCAAAATGTAAAGGTGCCAAAAGGGTTCTTTTTGGATCGGGGCCCTAAGGAAAGCAATAGCAGAGTTTTAATTTGTCACATGATTCTCTGGACACCATGTTGAATCCCTTTTTTGTGGCTTTCATTAGATGGTTCAGCTCCATCATTTCTCTGAGTATGAATTGGTCTAAAAACTTATTTTTCTGTCATTTTACAATCTGGAAAAATGGATTCACAATAATAGATGAGTAAAATTTTATTTTTAATTGTTTAATGTACTACATTTTTTGACATTGTGCATTTAGGTTTATATAGTGTTCAAAAGTATAACAGTTACCATAATTTTCTTTTTGTCTCCACGATTTAACCTGGATTCATTTGATAATGCTAAATGCAGCATCAAAATTAATGGTGGCAACGTAAAAACACACACCAAGAAAATGAAAACAAGCATTTAAATGTAACACAAATGATCAAATACTGATCAAACACTGAAATGTGACTCACTCTTGGTTTGAAGAAGGTTATGGTTAAATTGATTAAATTGTTGTAAAGTTTGCTGAAATATGCTTTCAAATTCAGTTACTTTTTTTGTGTATCTGCGGTCACAGCCTGAAAATACTTCTGAATTGACTTGGCAATATCACCGGAAATAATCTGTGCAACCAAAACTAAAGCAAAACATGATATTATGTGAAAAATATTTGAGCGCTGAAGCTGATCACAGTATGCCCTATCAGTGCACATTTACACATCTCTCTGTTTAAGGAACAAGGTTTACACTAAACTACATTCATTTCATGGTTACATGTTAAATAAGGCTTCCTAGTTTATCTGTTTCCAATAAAGTTTATTGGAGTTTAATACTATTTAATTAAGTCTATATTTAGACAAAAAAAAAAAAACAGATTATTTGATTAAGATTCAAAAGTCCTGGTGCCATAAGCTTATTTATGACAATTATTATTATTATTTTTAACAAATCTAAGCCAACCGAATTATGGCTCAGAGTTTATAGGAACACGTATTAGACTAGATTTAATGACTCACTTCCTTATATGCTGAGTTTAACAGCAAAACTGCAACAAAACTGTATTTTATATAGGCCGTGAGCTTTGGGTTGACAGCAATATTAACTAAAGTAGCTAACTGACAGACACTCGCAATAAAACATACATAACAAGTTAAAAAATAGCCACCACTTTATTGTAAACCTAAAGTAAAAAGAAAATATTAAACACAGTAGCAACTACCTGTTTAGCTAGGATTATTGTAGCATGAACACTTTTAGGTGGAAAGTAGGAGATTCTGATTAGGATATTTCTGAGGTTCCAGCTGTCATAAACACAGCATTATCTCATATTTATACCTCAGGCAAACAGGGTCTGTAAGTGCAAGAGTACATGTAGAACTCCTGCACTTAGAAAAAGTAGAATATGAAAATGAATATTGTCGTAAGAATATCTTGGGGTGCCACCAACTGATATGTTTAATATCTATCCATCTATCTATCTATCTATCTATATATATATATATATATTCATATATATATGCATATGTGTGTGTGTGTGTGTGTATATAAATGGATATCTTTTTTCACTGAGTAATTTTACCTCACTGAAAGGTTACATTTCTCTCACATTGCCTGCATAGTATCAAACCAATTAACTACATTTATACATTTGTTTTCACAGCCATTTTTACTTTAACTTCATAATAATTCTGGAGAACACTGAATTGTTTATTAATTTGTGCTCATTATATGGTTTTCTTTGAAACCTGAGAAGATTAGAGTTTACATGGCTCACAGAAAAAGCTTAACTCTTGCTTGTGTAGAATGTTTCCACAGTGCAATGCAAAACAGCCGTGTGGGAGCATCCAACATTTGCAAGGCAAAGCAAAAAGTTGGCAAGGGATTTTTTCCTCTTGAGACCTGTGGCATGCTCTTTACTTCAAATTTATAACACAGTATTTTCTCTGTCTTTCTGTATATTTGATTAGCCTGAATGTCCCACCCTGTTCTCACATTTTGTCCCTGTCACCCGGAATAGATCATGGTCTTGCAAAGCCCATGTACAACAGCATCTTTGGAGGCCCCCAAAACTCTAACCATTACACTAAATAAATGAATAAACGATTAAATGAATGAATAAAACAATCAATCAACAAATAAATAAATAAACCACCTGAAAAGTGAAATTTAGCAATAGTTCACATCTGTGTTTATCAGCAATGCAAATTTTCATTTTTGTGTTTTGAGGAAAAACAAAATTAGCCTTATCATTGATTAATATGCAATATTCTTTTGTGTCTACATTATAACAGTTTTTGTATGTAATGTATGTACATTAAAGACAGGCTCTTAACAAGATTTCTTCTCTTTATCCTTTAAGCCAAACTGAGTAGCAAATGAAGTATTTCTACACAGGAAAAGGGTGACACATCCCTTTTGAAAGGCAGCAACAAAATACATGAACATAAAACCTGAGGGGCCTGAGGACAGGTAACATTTGTTCATCTAATGCTTCTATCTGCATAGGATTGCCCAAGGTATTTGAGCCCCCTCTGACCTTGTGGTCTGAGGCTCCTGGAAGTCTGAGGCCCTTGTGTACTGGCCCCACTGGCCTAATCAGTAATATGTCCCTACCTGTCTTACCACTTAATGCCCAGACTTGACCAACAGCCACCACTGATTTAGATCCAAAGTCCAAAGTGTTGCTGATCTAGGATCATAAACTTAATTACTACTAGACTACATGAAAAGCTTGAAAACCTGATCTTCAGTCAGCTTTCTTGCTTTGCTAGGTTTTAACAACATGGATCGTAGAGCTTAGACCAGGTAAAACGCTCAACTTCTTTTTCTTATGCTTAGGCCATACAAACACCTCCACTGTGTGCGACTGAAGCACGCAGAAAGCTGCCTACATAAGTGTGGGCTGTGACTTGTGTAACTTACTGTTCAGTAACCTCCTTGTGGGTGTAAGGCTAATGTCAGACACTGTCCGCCTACAACTAGCAACATTCACCCATTTACAGCCTACACAAGAGCTCCCCCTCATCACAGTGACGCACACACACACGAACCGAGGAAATCCCCAAACAACGCTTACGACACAACGTGCTGCCACGTCATTTTGTTTACCACCCGTTTTCAGGGTGATCCCGCCTTCTCCGCTTGGGATTGGCTAGCACCATCCCGCCACCTGCGCTAGAATTGGGTAGTAGTTCATACTCACAAGTAGTCCGCCAATCGTGTGAGAAAGTAGCCTAGGAGGGCGGGGCTACTTCGAAAACAGGTGGGTTTTAAAATCTAATGCTCAGCTCTTTCGCTTGCTACGTTCATCACGGCAGAGAAACACGAACGTCGTCATCTCGGGCGGCTCGGTAACTTCGTTCTCGCCTCCGGGACAAACATAAACGGGGTAAGCTCACTTTTCGTGCCTTTATATTTCACGGGGTCGTCGAAGAGAGTGGTTTTAGTGAATTTGGACCGTTTATGGGTACGGAAATCCTCGTTACCTGTGGGAGCCGTTTGTGTTGACAGCTCGACGTAAAGGAAGAAAAGGCGACTCGGCGAGCTGTAAATACACAACCTCTTTAGTGGAGTTAAAAGTTTACATTTTGTGTGATCTTAATCATAAATTCAGCACACTTCGTGTGGCTAACAAGACAGGCTGGCTGTTCATTGAAGTCGCCGTGGCGTTGGGTAGCTGAACGTGTCGGTTAAAGCTAAATCTTAGGTTAACTTTAACCTACGTTTACTCTCCATAGGTGCTCTGACTGAAGGCCTCAGATCCAGCCTGTTCCAGTTTGTGTGGGCGAACACGGCGCTGTAGCTACTGGGGCTAACAGCTCAAAGGAGAGAGGAGAGTAATATATGAAGACATCCTACGAAGTGCAGCGGGAGACTCTAGTAGCTGACATGTACGGCACGGCGGGAATGCCCGACCTCCTGCCCCCAGCAGAGTGTGACCTGAGGCCAAGTCCACTGGTCCCGTATGGCGGCGTGGAGGCGCAGAGGAGGAACGGCTCAGAGATGCGGCCTCCACCGCGGACAGTACAGAGAGCCCCCAAACTCGGCCAGATCGGCCGCTCCAAGAGAGGTAGGAGTGGACTGTACACTAATAATGAGAACAAGGGGGCTAGATAACTTTTCACTGACTTTTCCTTGATTCTGCTGAACACGTTTTTCTAAAATGTTGGTCACACTTGAGGGATCTGTAAGATTAAAGGAAGTACATGTACACGTACACGTACACGTACACATACACATGTATATATGTGTATACATACATATATATATATATATATTTCTTGCCGGTGTTGGTTCAAAACCTCGTATCTCCAAAATAGTAACTTTACAGGAGAAAGAAAAACATACTTCACTTTTAATGTAAGTTAATGGAACCAGACTTTTTTCCAAGTCATTTTGGACCGTTTCTGTTTGTTCATCATTCATCATGAAATTCACACACAATGTGAAGGACAACATTTTCACATTATGTCAAAAACTGAAAAAACGACAAAAATGGAGATGCAAGGTTTTGTTTCGACAACATATGTACACATGTATGTATGTATGTATGTATGTATGTATAGATTTGATGTGAAGGCACCATTGAATAACTGGGGCATATCATGGCTGCATTTCAAATGAATTGGAACATTTTCTATTCTTTTAAATCTCTTGCTGTATGTGTAGTAGGGATGCACTGATATGGCACTGATCATGGGCTGATATTTTTTGCATATACATATTTGCCAGTGATACATAAACATTTTATGAAAAAGTAGAACTCAGGAATACATCTACCTGAATTAGCATTATGGATACAAATAGCATTTACTTCTGTAGGCTTGTGAATGCAGTAAAATGAATAAAATCTGAAATTTTAATATAATAGCCCAGCACTAACTATACATTCTGCTCCTCCAGTACAATAAATTTATCAAATAAATTGATCAAATGTAAATCTGTCAAATGCCGATCATTTTTGTTAAGCATTTATCTGCCGTACCGATATGATACTGATGTCATTGTGCATCCCTAGTATATATACAAAACTGTTATTTAGATGCACTAAACACGAGATCTTGTTTGTGATTTGGATTGAATGGAAGAACCAAAATTTGTTTACCTTGAATCATGTACTCTAACCTAATCCACAATGAGCTGAGGATAACACCTTTCCTATCCCTGTCATTACACAGTGGTCATTGACGATGAAGACTTGGATGACATCATGAACAACAACAGGAGCTTCCCTGTGTCTATCAGTGCCTAAAGCGTGACAGACTGTGCCAAAGCTGTGAAGAGGCCAACACCATTAATCAAACGAGTTCTGAATCATCTGTAAAATGTAATGGGTCATGAACCATTTATACTCTTCACTCACACAGTATCAGTGCGGATAGACCCACACACCTTCTCTCTCTTAAATCTCACATTTCACGTTGCTGCAACTTTAAATCTGGGGACTGTTGACACTCTGTTATCATGGCTTGTGCATTGGTTGTAATTTAAATCCTATGTTTCTGTGGTTACCTCTCTTGTTTGACACTGCATTTTGATACTGAGATTGAAAATGATCTCCAAAGCTACAGGGCTATATTTATAAAAATATGCACTTTACGGAGGGGGCAAAGACCAAACTAACCTCGTTTGGTAGGGTTGCTCCTCTCTCACAGAAGATATGTTCTGTGTAGGTCTGTTAACGTGTAACGCGGCATTAGCTTAAGACCTACGGTTACCTTGGAAACTGAGGTCTTTGGCTTGTCTTTTATGCACTCTGAACATTGGCAGTTAAAGTATATTAGCAGGGACTGTTTTTAAATAGTCACCATTTATAGGGATTCTTCATCTTTGATCCAAATGAGATTAGTACTTTCTCGCAACCTGAATATTATCTAAAATGGTTAGTATTTAATGGGGGCAATTTGACTGCACTGCTCTCGACATACAGTGCAGACGCTGGTGAGTTATAATCGACTTGCATGGAAATTGCTATCGGATTTTTGTTTTGTATTTGTAAATTGCATTTTTGAAAATAAAGTATGCATGACTATCATCATATGAATTGGTCCAGTTAAGTACTATAAGTGCAGAATATTCTTTTTACTATGCTTCAACTGCAAAGCACTATTATATTTACTCCATGATTAGAGAAAAGTGGCATACTTTTCTTGCCATGTGATGTTTTAGTATTCTTAGTCATTAAACATCAACAAAGATTGCAACTTCTGGTATTTCTCAGTTTGAACAACTGGTGAGAAATCATTCCTTTTTAAAGGTGACATTTTTTGTGAGATTGCTCATTACAAAACCTTTACTGTGAGTTCCCTACTGGATCCTTCTGAGTTTGCCGTCACCTTCCCACATTAAGGAAGATTTCACATTTATAACAAGTGCTAAAAGAGAAAGTGCACAGTGAAGATCTCACTGAAGTCTGTGATCATATTCAAGCATTAAAGTAAATACAGTGGAAGCAAATGGGATAGATGAACGTCAGTGATTTTCAGAATACACTGACACTGATGAGCAGTCAAATATATCGTCAGTGTCAGAACAAAACCTTATGTCTCCATTTTTGTCTGTTTTTCATTTTTTGAGTTAACTTGAAAACACCAGCTGTCCTTTACATTGTGTGAAAATTCCACAGTGAATGGACCAATAGCAATGGTCAAAAAAGACTTTGATAAAATCTTTTTACATTAAGCATGTTTTTTTTCTTCTGTAAGGTAACTACTTTGGAGATGTGGTTGTGTTCAGACAGTGATGATATGGAGGATTTAGTGAAAGCGGTCTTGACTTTGTAGGATTTTGAGTTAAAATACAAATAATAAGCAGAAACGTAAATTAGCCAAAATGGACCACTTGACCATGACCAAAACATGTAAAAGAAAGACTTGTACAATACAGATATAAATTAATACAATGTGTAGACAGTGATAATGACAATATTATGAAGAAATAAGGATTTTTATTGTGCATTGGGACATTTTATGATATGGTATGCATGAAGCAGTGAATAAACAAACAGAAGAAAGTATAAAAAAACAACACGGAGCAATGTAACCATCCATTGCATATGATTCACTAAAAACAGGGCTTTTACTAAATAACATAAACAGGACACCACTTGATTACATATATCCACCTGTAATTATCTAATGTAAAAGCCTGCAAGTTGTTGGGATGTTATCAAAATAACCAGCCTCAGTGAATATAATTACACCTGGTAATTATATTAGTCTTACCATATGCGTGATGTTAAGGCTGTTTATGTTTTTGTGAGTGGAGCAGAGCTGAGAGGAAATTCCACACTACTTTTAAGCAAGTCATGACTGCCCAGTAGGAATGTTCCCTATTTCCTCATCTGCTGGACAGTCTAGGGTTTTGGCTGAATATGCATCAAAGTTTATTTGAAAAAATATAAATGGAGAGCTTCACATATGTGGCTACTTCTTTTTAGGCTATTTATCGTACTGCACAATGCTGTTTTTTCTGAAATCTTCCCTTTTAGGTAACTGCAGTGCCTGTAATGCCCTCTAGAGTCGACAGTAATTCATCACATCATCTATGCCTAAACAGCCCTCACTAATCAACTCAAGTCTGACTTGCTCAAATAGTAGCTAGTAGGATACAGTAGCTCCCTGTGAAAGGGAGCTTTTTTCTGTTCCCAGTAACACTCAAACATCTAATAATACTTTATCTTGGGCCATTACAAAATGTAAACTGTATAACCATATAACATCTGACATCGAACACTTTCCACAGTTCTCTCTTTATGGATTAAACATGTTGTCCACCAACCTACTTCAATTCAATCCATCAGGCCCACTCCAGTTTTCCTTTACAGGGGATCCTTTGTCACATGCAGTTCCTATGTCTGTCCAGCTGAGGGCAGTCACACATACTCCTTGGTGCTGCTGGGAGCTCGAGCGGAGTTTTTGGGGTACTTGGATACCTGCTTGCTCCGAGGGCAGGAGGCAGCCAACATTGCTCCACCAAGAACATCCAGAAAAGATCCGCCCCATGCAATGAAAATGGCTGCACCAAACTCAAACCTAACAGAGGAAAGAGAAGAATCTGGTCTATTCAACAAACTACAATCTGTATCTATTCAATCTGTCAAAAAAGGTTGATGATGTATCAGTCTAAAAGTGCAGATTCAATTTTTTTTTCTTCAATTTTGGAATGATTGCATCCATTATAATAAAATTGAATAGTGTATGCAAATATTCTTTAAATATTAATAACCAAAATAAAAGTCTTGGCTGAAGAGAAAAAGGGATGTATTGTTGATTTTAATTTGTCATCTGTATTCCACTACTGTGTAAACAGTTCCTCCAGGCACATTAGTGTATTCAGTGCATTTTTAAAACAATTCTGAATTGTATCAAAAATGCATTTAAACCAATTTGAACTGTTGTGAAATTTGAGATTTAATGATGATTGAATACATTTTTTTCTGCACAATTTGTATCTATCTGCTGCATTTAACATTTTGGAAAACAATCAATAATATTTAACATTAGGTATGCATTATTTTAATTATGTTAATTAATTAATTAATTTACTATTAAATTATTTTGAATTTTGAACAAGCTTCGTACATATTTGTTTAAAAATAGTTGTATGCAAATGTTTGGGTACTCCTGGTCAAATTACATTTTATATATGTGGAAATAAGTACATACTGAAAAAAAATTAATTTAAACGTAAAATGTGGTGTGCAAAAGTAAAGGCACATTAATGTTTATTGTTTAATTTTTTCCAATATGTTAAACACAGCAAATGACAATAAACTGTGCAGAAAAAAAAAGTTATATTTAAATTTGTTCAAAATTTTGCATATGACTGTATCTTCATGAACGTCAGTTTGTTTTTTTATTTACTAATGTGTAAAAATTCCCTAAAGAAACTCTAAAGGTTCCTCTCAGAGTCTGTGAATTGACTTACTTGGTGTTGACTGGGGTGAAGGGGTTGTAGAAAGCACGGATCACATTGTGGGCGAACCAAGAGCATGCAACAATCGCACTGAGGGCTGTGTGGCCAAAACAAAGAGATCAGTTCAGAAAACAGTCAAATTAAAAGATAAATGGTCCGTGACCGATGAAAAATGCATGCAAGTATGTACACGTAACGCAGCCTTACTTCATAGCTCATTTCCTCAAAGCAATGTAGCAGCCTAATGATGTTTATAATGAAGTTTCTATTATTGGCCTTCACATGAACTGTTCATAGTTCAGTACCGGGTGGGAGGGCAGCCTCTGGCAGAGGAATCAAACTCCTGCCTACACACACTTTCATGACTTTGTACAAAGCCTATTACCCTGTACAGTAACCTCCATTTTTCCAACTCTTCATGTTCTTTGATGTTAAGTGACCCTTCAGCTTTGAAGAAAGTTATATTAAACACAACTGCTGATGCATGAGAGGTTCAAAGACTTTCTCCCGTATCTCTCTCACATTCTATCACACACTCACCTCCCACCAGCAGTATGATGCCTCCGGTCATGGCGGTGCGAGCCTTCCTCACTTTGTCGTCGGCTCCACAGGTGGTACACTTCATACCCATACAAGCCACGCCCAGCCCAGCAATGGACACGATGATGCCCACTATCATTAGAGCGCGGGTCGCCTGGAGGGCACCTAATAAACACAACAAGGATATAAATATGGAGTTGGCCCTTCCTTTGAAACAGTAACAGCCTCTACTCTTCTGAGGGGGCTTTACACTAGATGTTGGAACATTGCTGTATGGATTTGATTGCATTTAGCCACAAAAGCATGAGTGAGGTCAGGTACTGATGTTGGATGGTTAGTTCTGGATCACAAACGCCACTCTATTTAATCCCAAAGGGACTAGCTGGAGCCCCATCACTCCCCAGAACACAGTTCCACTGCGCTATGGTCAAATGCAGGGGTGGGCTTTATGCTCCTGAAGCTGATGCTTGGCATTGGGCATGATAATCTTAGGCTCATCAGTGGCTTTTTCAGAGCATCTCAGGCTACTGGCAAGTTGTCTGTGCGCAAGTGAACGCCTGTGTCAGTGATGGGTGCACCATCAAGTAACTGAATTCACTAATTGGGTGAGGGGTCTTTTGGACATACAGAGTAAGCTGTTAATATTTTCAGTAGAATCTAATTTTACAATTCAAAGAGATCTCTGAGGTCATTGATGAAAGGTATATGCCAATATAGCAATTGTACCAAGGGCGTAGTTAAGCATGACATAAAGTGTTTTTTTAATAAAATGCAGACAAAATACAAATGACAGAATATGATGTTACAGACAATAAAGTACACCAATGTTATATAAATAATAGGGCTGCAACTATCTGTATATCAAACATTCTATCAGATATAAATGTTTTTGCGTGATGCGGATTCTCTTGTTATCTTCAGATGCTTTGCTGTGTACTATTGTTGACTTGTTAGTGTTTACCTTGAGAAACAAAAGATAGTTTTCTGTCAAACTATTTAAAACCAGTGGACAGAAGCATGTGGTTTCATAAAATGGGTAAAAGTATTGGTTTTCCCATTTTCATACATTCTAATGATTGAATTTATTGATTTTAACCAAATATTTATGGCATTGATTGTTAATAATAATCACAATAAACAATCCTTTCACCAAACAAAGTAGTTTGCTAACAATACACATGGTTGCCAAGCAAGGTAACGGTCACAGATTATTCTGCAAACAATGTAATGTTTTTAGTAACTTGGTGCATTGATATAATATTTGACTCTCATATGCAGTAATATGTGTACAGTTTTATGCAAAATTTTGAACCACCAATCAACTTCCATGTTTTCTTGATTTTCTAAGTGAAAATAAGTTAACACATTCTCCATAGAGAGTAACTTTTTAGCTTTTTCAGCTAACTTTAGTGCACAATTTTTATCTATTTGCTCCAGTTACCATGATAAACATAACAAATTTAACAAAAATAAAACAGAAACATATGTGCCATAACTGTTGCACAAGCTACATGTTATGTTTTCCAGTATGTTCAATTTGGCAAATACACAGTAATTCTGAATAAAAATGTGCAGAGGTGTGTTCTCTGTAGAGGATGTGTACAAAGCATGATGTAATTTGATTCAGGAGTGCCGCGTTGCAAGCATAAGTATTTTACTCAAACAAGCCTTTAGAACTGGAACTAGCCATTACAGTGGCATAACAGAGTTTAATTCTGCTTACAGTAAATATCAACTTTACTAACTCACTTCATTTCAAATTAGGATCAACAAAGGAATGTCATTAGTTTAATTAGGCTATTAGCATATTCTTAACATTTCCTAAAAGCAAATCTCGTTTGCTGTCCCATCTGCTGAGGGCAACACTGAACAGAGTCCAACTGGGGATAATAATCACCATCCAAGAAATGAACAGAAAAGGAAGAGGAAGAGAGAATGTGGGAGACAGAGAGAGACAGTTTCATCCAACAAGAACCAGCCTGTACCAGTATATCCCTGTACATTCACACTAAAAAACAAGAGGCGATGGGGAGGGGAGTAACGAAGTGAAAGAATGGCTTCTCCAGCATTATTCATTAAAGCACAATAAAAGCTCTCTTGCCAGGCACTGAAACTACTTCAGTATGGAATCCAGTGGGGGGCCCTCCCTTCTCCCCCTTCATCATCTCTCCTCCCTTCTTCCCCTTCTATTACTCTCCTCCCTTCTTCCTCTTCTACTTCTTTCCTCCTTTCTCCCCCTCCTTCTTCTCTCCTCCCTCTGTCTTAACTCAACCTGCTGTCAGGTGCGGTCCCAACTGGTTTGATCTGGAAGTCATCCTGACTTTTCCACACAAGTAGCCCATCAACACATGCAACCAGGCCATATGGCTGGCGAAGGAATGAGCGAGGGGGAGTGGGAGCGTATCTCATTCTATTCAAGTGTACCCCAAACTTTACACCAGTGGAGAGGAGGCTGTGCTATTCTTTCAGAAGTGAGGGGTTGCAGAAAGGTTGCATTCTTATTAACAAAGCTATGGGCTGCTGTTTCCACGGCTACATGGTCACTACCTTGAAGGCATACTGTAAGCCCATCCCCCGCTGGCATAGTCAAAGCCCATTTATCAAGCTCTCTATATGCATAGCAGAGGCGCCCTCCATGTATTAAGGTGTGTGTGTAGTTTGGGGTGAGGTACTATTGCCAGATCAACCAGTAAATAACCACAGATTTACAGCCTACATTAACCCATTAACAAAGACTGCAAGTCTATAAAAGTTAAAACACAGACGTATCATAAATTACACATGTAAAAAAATCAACCTTACTTTTCAGATTTGACTGTAGTGCTTCTGTGACTGTTTTATTGCCTAATTTAGCATTTTGGTATTTGTATATTTGGCAGATTTACTACCAAATTTGGTATTTTTATTTGTGTTTCTCTGACTGTTTAATTACCAAATTTGATTTTTCAAATTTATGAAATTTTTTTAATTTCACAAAAACGTTTTTTAGTGGTATCACTGATAAACTAACAACCAGATAACCAGATAAACTAACAACGATAATGTTAAGAATAAGGCATATTTGCCCTCCACCGTGCTTACAAACCCACTAATCCAGAAACAATAAGCTCACTGTATGGAGATACAAAGCCTTTGCAGTCAGAGAGCCTCAGACTCGCCACTGAGGGAAACGACACATTCTACAGTGCAGCAAATGCATTGACACTACAACAGATCAAGCAGAATACATCAGCATATTAGTACTGTGTATTAGTATAAGAGTGAGATCCTGCAGAAACAGCTGGACCATCGCAGCATCACCCACCTGCCACTAAAGTGTTTAGTAGTTTCCTGCTGCTCACAGAAGAGTCAATATCAGCAGAGGATGATCTTATTTTAAGCACAAAGATTTAGGTTCTGAGTTTCTTTAAAAGTTATAAGTTGTGTCAATTAGACTGTAGAGTACTCACAAAACATTCATGTCAAACTGAAACACATTTATTTCGTAACTGCAAGCAATCTTGTTAATCTACCACATGATATGTCCACAAAGTGATGGACAAACAGATTAGATGAGATTAGGTTCATTCCCATTCAGGGCAGTATTGTGTCCTTTTCTAAACGACCCTTCGTTCATGCTAAAATGCATTTCGTTGTGCAAGTTGCCAAGTTCAGCCAGCGCTCCACACCTGTTGCACTTCTAAGCAAAATCTAGCGTTCGTTTAGCTCAGCCACTTACTGTCCAGCTGCAGAATGGAGTCGTAGATTTTGCACTGGAGCTGGCCGGTGCTCTGAAAGGCGCAAGACATCCAGAGCCCCTGGTACGTGGCCACGGCGGTGATGATGCTGTCCCCAACATAGGCGGACATCTTCCACTGGGGCAGTACGGTCCCCACGATGAGCCCCAAGATGCCAACAAGAGAGAGGGAGAAGCCCAGCAGCTGGACTCCGGAGCTAGCCATGTCCGAGTTCAAATCAAAACACCTGACGCTTTAGCAGAAAGTCGCAAAAAGCTGCAGGCTGAGTAAGAAAGCTGCTAAAACTCTTCAGCTTTACTTTTTTCAGTCACGTCAGAGTGGAACGTTAAGCTATTAGCCTCTCGACTGACTGCAGGACCAGGTAACTGCAGCTAAGCGCTGATCTAGGAGGAGGATGCGCAGACTGGAGGAGAACGTGCTGCGAGCTCCTGCGTCATAATGGGACTGGAGCGCAATTGGGACGTCACGCCCAATAGCATCCTCCCCTTGGATTGACTATTTAGGAAAAAAAATAACCTGCCTGCTCCATCCAGATCTCACTGGCTGGACACTAACCGGCTGCCTCTCTGTGCAGAAAAGGTGTTTTCCTTTCCCAGGGCTTCACCACTGAAATATTACCACATGTCAGCCTGTGGCTGCCTGAGCTGCCAAGGGCAGAATGCAAAACAGCTGCTCACTGCTGCTTGTTTTTCCTGTGGGGTTCATTTTGCAATGTTTAATATGCCTGAAATCTTCTTCACGCAAAGCTTCATCGTAAACACAGTAAAGATATTCCAGATTTTGCTTGAATGAGTGATGGAGTGTTCTCTAACTAAATAAGAACAAATTCTGTGTAACTGTATTGCCAGAAGCTATGTTAGGTCAATACACTGATCAGGATGTTATATGCTTAGTAAGGAATGAAATTGTCTGTTTACCCCCTAAATGATCAGGTGCCACCATCAGGTCCCAACTTCCATTCCTCACTCCTTTAACTTGAGAATAAAGCTAGTTTGCACTCTCTTCCATGTAGTTACTGAATAAGGCTTAGGATGCAACCAGCATAAGATTCTAAAGCACTATGTAATATTATTATTATAATAATATTATCATTATTATTATTATAATATTATAAATATTATTATAATATTTTTTGTTAAAACTGAAAGAAGTAGCATTACTTCTAGTGAGTATGGAGAAAAGAGAACACACTAAAATATGGTGTGTGCGATGCTGTGAATTACCCTGTAAGGCCATCATTTAAAAGTTGGAGGTACCAGGGTTCTTTTTTTGCACTCGCAAAAGTCAGATTCATCTGCTTTTACAGAAATATTCTTCCTCACGTTTTGTGCAATTACATATTTTCACCAGTGAGGTCTTCAAAATGCCCAAATCCTATATACTGCTGTTTTAAAGAGTACAGATTCTTATGCTATTACTGGACCAAACCTATTTAAACCATCTGGACCAAACCTATTTAAACTATCCTTCGTTCTGCCTTGTAATCCATACACTGATAATAGCCATTATGATCTGGTCATAATGTCAAAACTAATCCACACAGCTTTGCTTCTCTGAGGTACATTGAAGTGACTTCAGGTGACTTGTGAGAATAAGTCTGCTGGAAAGCCCACACTAGTCAAGCAAATGCACTATTTGTTGTATTTGTATTTGTTGTATTGATTATGAATTGTGGAGTAAATGTGAAGTTGTTAAGAGGGTGAGAAATACATGAACTGGGCTGAAGTTTGAGGTGGCTTGGTGCTAGAAGTCAAGAGATAGGTGTAGGATATCAGTTGTGGTCTTCAATTATTATTTCACAATGTCATTTATTTGCAGATAATACTCAGACAACACTAGGTTCCATTTACTGGTTTAGATAAAACCATGGCCACAGAATGCAGAGCAAATACAATCAAGAAGGATAATATCAGTGGTGTGAATACCAGTCGCAATTGCCAGTCGCTATCCCTGTTGCACATTTGTGTCAGTGTTTTGGGGGTATCCCACCACTGTAGGCTAGCATCAGTGATTGTGTGTTTGAGTCTTTGTAAGAACATATGGTGTCCTCATGAGCTTATCGGCACTCCTTTAAAAATAATAATTTGATTGCTGAGATGTAAACAAAGTCCTTCAGACTGTTTTCTATGAAGTGGATGATGTAAAGTTTTTTTTGGGTACTGTTTTGCTTTGAAACCTCTTTTATGTACTTGTCTGCTATGAACGTATTTGTAAAAATACATTTTAGGCCAAAGCTTTATCTCAAAACTATTGTAAAACAATGCCTCAGGAATCAGGGAGTGTGCTCATTTTGTATAATAACTTTATGTGATGTACTGTTCTGACAGTTTCCTTAGAACAGCACATTTCATGTCAAACCACTCTGAATTAAGCTGTTTATTAATTATTCATTGAATTATGCAGACATTTTAAAATCTTCTTCTTAAACAACCAAATGTCATTAGTTTTCCTCACAATAATGTTTCAAAGGAAAGGAAGTGAATATATCCATAAGCCACTGAATTTGTTTTGTTATACTGCTTCTGGTCCCAGATACAACTACAGAAATCTAAAGCTATGTTGGTATTACAGCAGCATTAACAGAGTACTGTCCTGTGACACAAAAAAACAACATAAAATGGTCCATAACTCACATGGATGTGTTTCTAAGTGGAAAAACTACAGTACAGGTTTGAAGAATGCAGTTACACATCACTCAAGTCTGAAAGTGCATGACTGCAATGGTTCAAGCTGTATTAGCTACTGTAGTTAATTTGGTTAACACTGTGCAGGGTCTAGGAGTTTTGAGCTCATCTGTTAGGATTTAGAGGGAAGGAAAATGAACCCCTTGTTAGTTTTTTTTAGTGCATCTGACATTTAAGAGTCCTGTGGAATTTTAATACCCCGTCACCCCCCTTCTCATCAGGGACCCCTGCCATGAGGGTGCTTAAAAATGATTTGTGAAACAACAAAAAACGAAGTATAGTACATGTTTCTGGTATGGTCCATTATGTTGAATTCACTACAAATGAGTACTGTAAAATACCAATAAACACCACAAAGATACTGCAGAATAGCATACAGGTGCCCCACCCACTTCACTCCAATAGCCTTAACTTCAATAGCCCTAATCTTCACAGGGCACTGTGACCAGGGCACGTGATGTGTGTCACGTCTGAACACTCCATCAACTGAACCCTGCATGTCCTGTGTGTCCTGGCAAAGAACAACTCCTGGAACACTGTGAGCTATTGTGTGCCTCGTGGAGCTGGCGCCACTGACTCAATCAGCTCACACAGGGAGGGAGACCAAGCTCAGGAGCTCAGAGAGGAAGCAATAACCCTAATCAGAGAGGAAATGATTTTCACTTCCACCCCAGCGCCACACCGTAACACTTTGTGTTGTTATGGGTTCAAATTTATGAGTTTGCCCGGGTTGTGAAGGTGCAAGAGGTGCTGGATTCAGATGGGCATTTAAGATACAGAAAACTGCAGGCACACTTTACAAGCACATTATTGCGTTTAGCAAGGGCTGCAGTGTCCAACCTTGCATAACACTACCTTTCTGTTTTTCTTTTTTTAATGAATGAGTTTGGTATACCATGTAAACATTGTAAACTAAAGTTACAGCATGTGCTGTTCCAAATTCCATAGAGTCCAGTGCATTCAGATTTACACAATATGGACAAAAGTATTGGGTCTCTTATATATTAGACTGCCAGATAGAGAAGTGCGATCCATCACTCCACAAAATACGTTTTCACTGCTCCAGGTTCCAGTGGCGGCGTGTGTAGCTGCTCAGCCATGAAAACCAAATTCGTGAAGCTCCTAACACGCAGTTCTTTTGCTGATGTTTCTTCCAGAGGTAATTTGGAACTCTTTAGTGAGTGATTCAACAGAGGATAGGCACTGGGGACTTCAGCACTCAGCGTCCTCACTTTGTGAGTTTGCATAGTCTTCTGCTTCGTGGTTAAGCTGTTGTTGCTCCTAGATGTTTCCATTTCACAATAATAGCACTTACGGTTGATGGGGCAGATCAGGCAGGACAGAAATTTCACAAACTGACTTCCTATGACAGTGTCATATATAAAATCACTGAGCTCGTCAGTACGACCAATTCTACTGTCAGTGTTTGTCTGCAAGAGATTGCAAGATTATGTTTTATTTTCTATCCACCTGTTAGCAATGGGTGGCTGTAACACCTGAACTCAATAATTAGGAGGGGTGTCCTAATACTTTTGTCCACATTGTGTATGTACTGCATGATACAATCTACCAATTAACATCTTACCAAGCTCTGGGACATTGATTTTGGATCAAGATGGCAAGAGGAGAAGAGTGACTTTGAAAAAAAAAAATCTTTTTGTCATTATACTTGCACAATTCTTTTCTTCATGTATCCCAGCTTAGAAAGCTCCACACTTAAAAAAAGATGGTTCTTTAAGGGTTCTTTAGTAAAGTGGTTTTGTATAGAACCACGAACACTCAAAGGACTCTTTGCATGATTAAAGGGTTCTTGGCATTGTGATAGGGTACTTCATATTGATGGAGAATGTGTTGTATATGGTTCTATATAGAACCTTTTAAAAGGGCTCTATATAGCACCAAAAAGGTTCCATATAGAACCATGCATAACACATTTTCCAACAATCTGAAGAACTATTTCCTTCAAAGGGTTTTTTGAGAGTTCATGGTTCTATATAGAACCATTTTCTTTACTAAATATCTCTTGAAGAAACACCTTTTTTAAGCATAGGGTCAGAGCACAGGGTCAGCCATGATACAGTACCCCTGGAGCAGAGAGTGTTAAGTGCCATGCTCAACTTAGCAGACCCGGGTATTGAACCCACAACCCTGTGATCAACTCTAATGGGGCACAGATGGAGCTTCATTCACAAAGACAGGGACAAAAATTACATCTGCATTTAGATCAATGGGAAAGACTTCAGCAAATAGGGTTGAGAATTGTGATGGAAAGCATGTATTCATTGACCATCATGATCATGCAACAGTTTTTTGTGACTTTGTGTGCATTCCAAAAACTAGGCAGTCCAAGTGGGCTACCCTTCTTGGTTGCTGTATCATCAAAGACGGTTCCAATCTGAAAGATCCTCAGAATACAGCCGAGAAATGCAGCCCACATTCTGACCACTTTCCAGGATGCTACCAGAGTATCATTCATGCTCTTCTGTCGTCCATTATCCTTTGCACATGTCTTACCTGAAGATACCTACCAGATGAAATCAACTGCTACACTTTCTATAATACAGTAAAATATAAACTATGCTATTTCTTTAGTTTATGTGTTAAAGAAGAAGTAAATTTGTGTAGAGTGCACCTATTTTCAGTGAGGTGAGCACATTTTACTTACAGGACAGCATTTAATTACAAATAAATTAATGTTTTGCCTGCCACATTACATCATTCACATCAACTATTTCAACTACTATTAACATCAGCTGTATATTTTCCATAACATTCACATGCCAACTCTTCCAGTGATGCGACAAAGTGATCTGTATCACATTTTTCAGAATGTGATACAGACGAGGAGCCTTCATAGGACAGTCCTACCACCATTCTCAGCTGCAGACAAGCTTTTGGAACACAGGTAGAATGTCAGTGCAGAATGTGATCAGACTGTGTCAGCAAGAACACTCTGTTTGTAACAACACAGAGAGGGATATTATAGTAGGGGTACAGTGTGGAGACCCTCATTACAAAAACGAATGCACATTTGAGAGTTCAGTAATCACAATCAGCATTGATCTACACTGATCTACATGTGGCACATGGTTCAAATCAAATAGGAACTTAGCATCTCTCTGTCTCTCTGTTTTAGGAAGATTAAGGCTAACTAGCTGCTTCCTTCACTCACATGGACAGAGCATTCCAGTCCTGTCAGGACTCCTGTAGTTTTTAAGTCATCACTGAGGTAAAGGCCAGGGATGAAATGTGGGGAGAGAGGAGGGGTGAAGACCAAGAAGGAGGGTACAAGCCTTCATCCCAGGAACATCTCCCTTAAACCATGCGATGGCACAGCTGCCCCTGGTTACGTGATTTATCTGCCACCCTATTGGCTGGTTCTCAAACCGTGGGCCAAAAAACCTCAACACACAAAAGAACAGAGAATTTTCTTGAACGTTTTCCCCCTCCTCATTCCCGTAAGCCCACATTCGTCTTGTGCCCTCACCTCAGTACAGCGCTCAATAGGGGAGCAGAAACTGCTAAATCACCCCAAAAGAAGGGCTCTGCTTTGCTCCTGGCTCCGCTGCTTTGTAAAGGGGGCAGACAGTGTGAAAGGAGCCTGATTAAACTCCTGTAAGCCTGCTTAGAAGGCCACTGAACCGTTTGCAATAAAACACACTGGATTCTAGTTCTCTCTTAAAAGCAGCAACTCTGGCAATAAGACATTTTATCTCTCTCTCTCCTTCTCTCTCTCTCTCTTTCTTTTGCAACTTGTTATGAAAGGAAAATAGTTCTGCTGACAAGCCAAAGGAATGCAATGGAATCTTTTTTCAGCAAGTTATCCATTCGTTGGGGAAATAAGCAGTATTTAACAGAAAATTACACAGAAGCCTCAACAACTATATATACACACACACACACATTTTTTTTCATGCTTGTACTTTCCATGTATCCATGTACTTTATGGCAATTTTGACCAGAAATTAAATTAATGAACTGTGGTCTCTGATTTTTACAAAATACTGTATACAATATATAAAAAAAGAATTTCTTAAAATATAGGATAATATGCATATTAGGCTAGTTTCCCAGATTCACAGGAATAGCTTGGCCTAATGTGTATAGTGAATAAATAGCTAGCAGTCAGCACTCATGTCATTTGCACAATGCCAAGTGGTTGATATTTGCTTTCATTCGTTGTTAGCAACTTGATAGATGTTCAGGGCTCATTGGCATTGCAGTGTAGTACAAGACTATCCATGCACTTAATGTCATTATACATCTAATAAAGATACGATATACAAGTATAAAGGCATGTTTTCCCATAATCTGTGCTTTAATCTATTGACTGTTGTGTTGTGTGTTATAACTGTTAGACTTTATTCTGCTTGAACATTACTGAGTGTAGATACAGCTGAGGGAAGGAAAAGGGTAGTGAACAGGAGGGCAGCTAACCTTCCCAAAATTATACAAAAACAAGAGTGATGTTATAAAATCTTGGCAAAATTAATAAAATATTTAACCAAAGCTCAGCAGTTCAGACAATTAATAATATATTAAACCTAAGAATAATAACCTTAAAACTCTGGAAAAACAAGCACTGAAAACACTCAATCTGTTCCAAAAGTGTAATTAGTTTAGTTTTTGGCACGTTTGTAGGACAGGGCGGATGTCAGTATTTTCCTGGATGTAAAATATGAGTTGCTCATGAGAGCGACTATATGAAATAGTCCTAAATATTTTCTTAGGCATATAACTAAGAAAATCTAATTTGTTCAGACTACATTATGATTAGCTGAAAGAAACCAATTATTTAGCAAATGAAAAATAGTGTGTGGGAGATTTTTAAAAGTATTTGAATAATTACATGGAAGATTGTTGGAAAAACAGTTACTAAGTTTGATTTGATTCTGTAGTTAATCACATTATGCTGTGTTGGTTCTTTCTCTCTGTATGTGCTTAGGCTTTGTCTCAGAGTGCTGCAAAATGTATTACTGAGTTTCAACCAGGCCTGGGAAACACTACTCAAACTCATCTTGAACATAAATTGTAACTATGATAGGGACACTTGGCTATTGTCTAAGAGTCTTGGCCTGCACACACACACACACACACACACACACACACACACACACACACAGACAGAACTAGTTTTGACCATAACTTTATTTTTCATCCATTTCATTTATAAAGCATATATTTTAACCCTCCCTTGTTTAGTCACAATTGAGAATGACCTGTTTAGTCAGGGGGGACAATCAATAGATTCTAACTTATTTTTTACTCTCTTGATCAATGAAAAAATGGAACTGAGGGATATGTTAAGTGATGTAATATGATGTAATCAAGAGCATAGCCCTGAAGGATGACATGGCATTTTTAGAAAAAACAAGGTGTTTGTCATAGAAGGTCAAGGCTAACTGAAGAAACAAAGTGTATGTAAAAGCTACAAAATGTTACTGTTATAACAGAACCCAATGTAGTCAGAGTTGTATGTGATGGTAAGACAGATCAGGTGAGATGAAGTAATGGGGTTGGGTACTCTCCCCAGAGCAGTATAAAAAAAGATTTATTTTCCCTGTTTTTTGTAGTTGTGGCCCTGTGCAACTCAGATTAACAGTTGGATTTGTGAAGCCTTGATCTTCATTAAAAGATTGTACCTTTCTCTGCCATTCTTGGTGTTAACTGTTTTCCGTTTCGCATTAGGAGAAGTTTTATTTTTGAATTGAAAGCATGCTGTTCTCCACGACAAGTGTCAACAAACAAACAACTTGAAACAAAGAGACAAATTCTGAAATATTTTCCTATCTAAAATGCAAATACTGATTCAGTGAAAAATGCCCTTTTTTACAGTAACACCTCATACATTTCATTTGGATACTACAAAATACATTAAATAGTATTTCGTCTCAGCTATCAGAGGACCCATGTCATCTATGCAATAATAATAAAATTTGACCTGTGACTTGCAGAATTTGAATAAATATATCATCATTCATCATTATTATATCCGCAGGAGTCCACGTAGCCTATGAGTGAAAGGCAGAGAAAGAACTTGACTCATTCATTCATACTGCACACTGTCGCCCTCTACAGGCTGATGGTAGGATCTAAAAGTGAAAAATTAACATAGGCACACTCTCAAATGTCTCTGGTCATCGGTCCCTGCGCCAAAGCTTTGGAACATCCACATGTAGATGTTCTGGAAGAGCAAGAGATTGTCTAAGTGTGGGATGTGTGTGTGTGTGTGTAGGGTAATAAGGAAATAGGTGGTTTGGTGTGCATCTGTGTGTGTGTGTGTATATGTGATTTTCTCAGGGAAAAGGGTTGTCAGGTGTGTGATTGAAGCTGGCATCCAGAAACATGGCCAAAGTGCCAAGGGTGGTGATGATAACAAAGAGCCAGAGGAAGAGGCGGTCCACCACGATGGCAATGTACTGCCAGTCATCTGTAATCTGCAAGCACACATACACACACAACTGGATGTTATGTACAGAGGTGATAATATGTATAGAGGGGTTTGTTTGTCAAATCATTAATGAACAATTTCCGGTCAAAACGGCCAAGAAGTACTAGTTACTAATTTTTACTGCCAGGAAAAAAAAACAGAAAACATATATTGAACAGAAAACTACAAAGTAGTTAAGGTGTGTTGGGTAGTTGCATGAGTGAAGTTAAAGTCTTTTTGAAAGGGAACATAATGTCAGTGACTCCTTTGGGAACAGCTTTTGTTGGGAGGACACAGCTGGAACTGCTTGGTTTTTAGATGGGAAGGATGGAAGAATTAAAGTGGCTATAATTTACACAATAGTAAAGAGTGGACAAAATGAAATACTGATAGATTTAATATTATACTTGTTGTAAGCTTTTGAGTAATTTTAAACATGTTCCTGCATACAAAATATTATTTCGTAATTTTGAAAAAATAAATGAAAACACAAAATGAATGACTTCTTAATGGCTGTTTTGACCAGAAATTAGAAAAATAAAAGGGCAGTCTGTGACTTTTGCACAGTGCCATAAATTGCTGGCCACAGCATGTGAGATGCTGTGCTTTACGGCCTGTGTCTGTGTGTGTGTGAACTCACAGTATCATTCACATCTTGTTTTTTCAGTTGTTCGGCCATGTAGGTGACGGCAGCGATGGCGGATTTGAGGTCTGGGGGCAGGATCAGACAGTAGCTGTCACTGTCAAAAAACCTCTGCAGCTGCACTGTGGTATCGGGACGACTGTAAAACACACACGCGCACAGAAACACACATACACATTTTAGTTACTGGCATATATGTATTCATGTATTTTATCTTAAGTTACGTTATGCAGAACAATACTGTCCACTGCAGAGATACACAGTAAACTGGGAAGAAAGGCAAAGTCACAGATAAAGACATTTAAGAATAAATATTGACTCATGACACAGAAAGACACATATACGCATACAGGCATGCACACCCACCCACACACATTCATAGAGGTTACTGTACATATGACTGCAGTAGTATGTCTCCTTGTGTCCCCTCAATGTCGTTTGAAATGACACCCCCCCTTGTTCCACCATTTTAAGAATGACGGCGATACATTCCTAATGCAGCGCTGAACTTCAAAGCTCATTCATTATGATCATCAGCAAGTGTTGCAATAGGCAGTAAAACCAACTTAGCTGTGTTCATTTCTCTAGTTTGGTAGCTCAATTTTTAACCCCTTAAACTCTCACAACCTGTCAGCAGGTCAACACTACAGCTTCTCATTGTCACACATACCTGAAATGTACGTTTCATAGTAGTTATTACAGTTGATAACACAAGTAATGTGATTACCTTTCCCTAGAAGCGTAGCGTATTGCAATTTAAATTCTTGGAATCACGTTACTGTTACTGACTAAGAAATAAGAAATGCACTATGTGTGTTCCTCACAGCAATATTAGTTACATGTGATGTATTTAAAAGACAATTTTCATCTATATAGGTTATCTGTGCCTGTCCTTGTACAAAATTTGCACGTATGCATACTATCTGTGACAGGTGACTGCACATCTCCATAAACTTAGCAAGCTGTCTGCTGAAGCATCTAATCCTGCTAATATGGAACTGATGGATGAAGATCCCGGTGCTGAAGGAGAACCCCAACCTCACTTACACCGGTCAGCTTGGTTTCCATTCAGAAACAGCTGTGTAAACTTTACATTTTTTTTGTACAGATACCTTTATTTTGAGGCAGTTGTTTTTAAATTCTTTCAGCTGACCAGTTTCTAGGTTTTTGAACAGCATCAGCCTGATTAATAGTTTGAATCAGGTAGTATGTTTTACAGAATGTTTTGTTGCTATGTTTCAGGAATAGTAACAGGCTTTTAAATGATATTTATTGTGATTGGCCCTTACTTTCTGAATAAAGTAATAAGGACTCCTGGGTTTCTCCTTGTACTTTCTATCTATTACATATTTGTATGGGTTTAAGACACTAACGCAGAAGTAAATTAATGAATATGAGTTTTGGCATGAAGTAATAGGTAAAGTTGTCCCATTACAGAGAAGTCATTTGTAATTTGTAATGTACTGCTCAGTAATTCATCTTGAGTAATAAGTATTTAGACTGTAATTACAGTCTAAGAGTTTAATTTAATGGAGGTTTTGCCTTCAGTGGTCTGCTGGTCACACTTTAATTTGAGAGTCCTCTCAATGATCCACAGATGCTTTAAGTTGATTGTCAATATGGTTACGGTACAATTTATTATTAGATGTGGGTTTTAGGTTCAAGTTAAGGTTATGGTTAGGTTTAGGTTTAGGGCTGGATTTTAAAGAATTTGTTACATTTAGTTGAACATTAGTTAAAGACAAACAGCATCTGCAAAGCATCTACAGTGAACGCTCAAAATAAAGTGTGACCTAATAGGTCTCGATTCCAGTACGGGGGACACTATAAACTGCATGTATTTGTATTTTCCCTGCTCTAATGTCCGTGACCTGGATCCTGAAGAGCTTGATAATTACTGATGAGTTGAAAGAAGTGGGTTAGATAGTAAAAGAACACATAAAAAAGTGGAAGAACATGGAGAGCATGCTGAAGAACCTGTCCCACCCCATGCACCACTCTCTGATAGCACTGAGCAGCTCCTTCAGTGCCCGGCTGCGGCACCCGCGGTGTGTGAAGGAGAGATACTGCAGGTCCTTCCTCCCAGCCGCTGTCAGACTCTATAACAGTCACGGCACTCAGTAGACAGTAGTTTACAATTACTTTCCATGTGCAAGAACTCTCAACATCACTGCCATAGCACTTTAATGTGTGCAATATCTCAATCCACCATGCGTAGTATATTCACTGCGGATCATTGTCAACATGTTTACCACCATTATGTGCAATTATGTCAAGTGCAATATTTCTCCATTTATTTACTGTTTATTTATTTGCTATTTTATTCACTGTGCAATACTCACTACAATACATACCTTTCTACATTTCTAAATTTAAATTTAATACTTTGTATATTTTTCTTGTAATCTTTGTACATATACATATATATCTTTATACTTTTATTGTTTATTCTATTTTATATATTGTTTGTATATTTCCTGCTGCTCTGTCTTCTGTGCTGCTGTAACACCGCAAATTTCCCCGTTGTGGGATTAATAAAGGATTATCGAATCTAATCTAATCTAATCTAATGTATTCTGTGTAATACAGTGTGCAAAAGTGCAGGCCAGCCAAGAAAATAGTTTTGACTATTTATCTGGATGGTATGTTTTGGCTTGTTAAAAAAATCTGAATAAATGTACAAATAAACAAATAAACATTAAAACAATAAAAACAATAATGCCTTTAAAAAAAAAACTTTGCTATAAAAAATAGCATAAAATTACAGTAATTTACTGATGACAATTTCTCCAGGAGTTTACTCTTTATTTACAGTACTCATACTGGATTATATATTTACAATACTGTATTTCTAAACACAGGGTTTTTTTGCTCTAATGCGCACCCACAACTGTGCAAGGGCACTTAGTTTTGATATGTTATGGAGTACATCTTGTGAAGACATAGACAAACACAACAAATCTAACAAGCCAATTTTTGAATGTTCATGCATACTGTTACACAATTATGACAACAGTCACACTATGTTTCACAACAGTATAGTGCAGGTTAACAATCACATCATGAACCACACGTCAAATTACAGCAGTTACTGCACTTATACCACTCAGTAGAACTACAAAGATATCAGTAACTGAATATCCATTAATAAATATCCATTACAGGATGAACTGAAACACAAAACACCATCATGGTTAGAATAACCAAACATGTGAAACACATTAAGACATCTCTTTGGGCTAAGAATAACTTGTTAAAACCAAATTATTCTTGTGAAATTAACTGTAGAAGATAAAATAAAAGCAAATTAACAAAATTGCAAAGAGTGCTGGGTAGCTCAGCCACCCTCACTACAATGTTTATTACATTTACAATAATGGAATATTGATTAGCTGAAGGAATTGCTGGATGGAAACTACAAATAGTGAGCTGTCTTGAGGAGAGGTCTGGAAATGGGTAGCACACTGACATAGAATCTCAAATTATTGTATTAAGGTTTATTTGCATTTATTCTCATGTTTGTGTTTTTTTTTTTCCAGAGTAAACAGCCACTGCCCAGATAAATATATCAAGCTATAATTTTCTCAGCTGGCCTAAAACTTTTGCACTGTACTGTAATAGTGTAATAGTGAACAGATGTGATAAGGGGCCAGTGTGAAGTGGGATCACGCATTCACAATCTGTGTTCCTCCAAGGACACGTGTTTTCCAACAGGGATTATACGCTGATCACCATACACTCTTAGTAACACATACACATCACCATCTATAAATTCTCTGCTTACATACATACATTACACATGTCACACGACCACATCCGCTTTAATGCTGTGTTAACTGCACGCCTGCCACAGTTCAGGAAGAATGTCCCTCACTAACTACACTAACACCATCTGTACACTGCGTGCCTTACCACACTTCTAGCCTTCACACCTTTACATATACACACACATACATACAAACTCAACTATACACATACAGACACATGAAAGCAAAGGCACACATGTGCACACACTCTCACACATAATAAAGCAAAGCAGGTGCACACAACTTGGCTATGAGAGACATTACTTTTACAGTTCCAAGTCACGCTCCCAACAAAAATGAAATTTCATCACGAGAGGGGTTGATTAACACCTTACTAACCATTTACACTCAAATTTTCCCTGTGATTTTATATATATTTATGTACCAGCAGTGACCCATTTAAACATGTATTATTCCTAAATCTATTAAATTAGTTACTGAATGCATGAGACTCTGGCAGCACTGGGCAGCTCCTTCAGTGACAGGCAGCTCCACCTCAAGTGGGTTAAGGAGCGCAATCGCAGGTCCTTCCTTCCTGCTGCTGTTAGACTGTACAACCAGCACCGCTCCCAGTAACCCCCCCCATTAGGCCTCATACACCTACAGCACATAAACTGTGAATTCATCAACATTTCCTGTGTGCAATGTAGTTAGTAGTCCATGTGAAATATGTGTGAAATATGCAAAGTAAAGATTTTTTCTTGCTTTTCTATTTATAATGTTTATATTGTTAATTCATCACAATTCCCACAGGTAATATAATCAATTCTCCATGTGCAATATTCCGTGTGCAATTTGGGTAAAATATCATTACAGTGTAAATATTTTTTGCCTTTTTATTTATGATTGTTTATATTGTTAATTTTTGTGAACAGAGTTTATGTGAAGGATAGAGTTTATACATTTTATCTTACATTTTTTATCTTTAGTATTATATATTGTCTTTATAGTACCAAGTAACAAACTGTAACCTTGTTAAATAATTAACAAGGTTAATTACTTTGCTAATGCTCTTCTTTTTATTTCTTTTCTTTGCTTTGCTATATGAATTTCCCCATTGTGGGACTAATAAAGGATTATCTTACCTTATCTCATCTTGAATAATTCACCATAGTTTGTGGATATTTTATAGCAGTTCGGAGTAGTTACTGGATAATTCAAAGCATTTAGCAAATAATTCATTGTAGTTATTGTAGGCACTTACTGAATAATAAGGAAGTCTATTGGTACTGAATACAATACTGAATTTGAATTTAAAATAGTAAAGTTACTTAATATAATAGTTACTGGATGATTAATACAAGTTACTGAATAATTGATAATAGCTTTTGAAGACAGTAGTTACTGGACAATTCATAGTATTTGCAGAATAGAAAGTATTTCATTTAAGGGGTTAAAAAGAAAACCATATGCTGTGGTTTCTGTCGCGGTAGACAGAGGGTCTGGCACCATTCCTTAGCAGACTTTCACGCTCAGCACCTCAGCGCATGCCATAAACACTTCATTTGGAATCTGTGCATTTTAAGTGCAGCTGTTAAGCTGATATAAGGACAAGAGATACTGAATTAGGAGGAAGAGGACGACAGAGAAACAGATAGAGAGAGAGAGAGAGAGAGAGAGAGAGGGAGAGAGAATGCTACAAAGAGAGAGAGAGAGAGAGAGAGAGAGAGAGAGAGAGAGCGACGAGAGAGAGAGAGAGAATGCTACAAAGAGTGAGAAACAAAAAGAAAGATGGAGAGAAAAAAGGGAAAGAGATAGAGAGATAAAGACAGAAAAAATACATGAATTTTTAGAAACATGTGACTATTAAGTGACTTAACTGTGGCATAGAGATTCAGAAAGAGAGAAAGGCAGAAGGAAAGAGAGAGAGAGAGACAGACAGACAGACAGACAGACAGACAGACAGACAGAAAGAGAGGAAGAGACAGTAAAAAAGAGAGAAATGAGAGAGAGAAAAAAGAGGGAGAGGGAGAGACATTGAGAGAGAGAAAGAGCCCTCTCTTTCTCTCCCTCAATGGGGGGAAGAGAGAGAGCTCTTTCTCTCTCCATCCAAGATGGAGAGATAGAGGGAGAGTTAAAGACAGAGAGACAGACAGAGAGAGAGAGACAGAAAGAGAGAGAGAGTGCTTTACATATGTGGGGGCCATCTAGGGAGAGAAAGAGAGCTCTTTACATGGGGGGCTGTTTAGAAATAGAGACGCAGAGACAAAGAGAGAGAGAGAAAGAGGGGGGGCTGTTTAGGGAGAAATACACTGAGACACATGCACACGAACAATACTAGCACACAGCTATGAAACACACACATACACTACTCACACATACACACACACTTCTTGCACACACTTATGAAACACTTGTACATGTGTGTTTGAATGATTGTACACAGACTGGAATCACTGGTGTCTGCACAACAGTTTTCAGTGTGCCTGGACGTCATTTCACTGTAACAGGAAGGCAGAGTTTTACAAAATAAGAGCATGCTCAGCAGCACAGAGGGAAAACGTTTCTGGAAATACCCCTTTTGACCTCTTGTAACAAACAGCGGCTCCTATCATTTTAATCAGCCTTTTCATCTTTAATCAGCCTTTCAGTATTGTTGGTGACAGTGAGGAGCAGCAACTAACCGGCCCCCCCATATTTACATGCCTTCCATACCCATACCTTTATTCACCACCAACTGATGTGAACTTCCATTCAGCCTCTGACTACCATAGATACTCTCTCTCTTACACACACACACATTCTTTTATAGAAACACATTCACACACCGTCATCTCCCTAAACACACGTTTTCACAGAACTGCATACACATACCAGGAAAAAGACAAGACACAGTGCTGATGGGCACGTAGCCCCCTCATTTCTCCACTTTAACACACACTCCCTTAGGAAAGCATTGCCTTAGATATTTCTCTAAACTTCTTAAACCACACTTCTCTTCCACCTATCTTTCCAGCTATCCATCCACCCCTGCTCATCTCTGCTTTCTGCTCTGTCCTCGGGTGGATTATCTCTAATGCCCAAACTAAACAGGGGCTTAGGGGTCTGGCGACAGTGGCGGGCGACCAGGCTTAGCTGGGCTGAGATCAAATGCCCTTGGAAGGAGAAAAGAAATGACCACCAGCGCAGAGCCGCATGAGCATAAGACCCCAAAGCCGCAATCCCTGTTTATGACCTCCGAGCACAGTGGGGCAGGACTACGGGTACTGCTAGATTACAGTATGGTGGGCAAATTAAACTGTCAGACAGGCTATTTAGAGAGGGAAAGAGAGAGAGATGAATTTGCACTTTGTTTACTTCATACTTTTACAGGCTATATGTTCTTACATGGACATTCTTGCATAAGACCAAATTACTGCCACTTGTATGTGTTCACTGTGGGAGGCAAGGTAATGACATGATATTCAAAGAGAAATTATAAACCAGTTATGTTCAGAACAGAAGACTATTCAGCAAAGTATTAGCTGTCTGTTAATGGATCAGAGTGCAACTAGCCACAGTTGTACAAATCAAATTATAATGAATGAATAAATGAACAAATTAATGAATGAATCAAATCAAATTTACACAGCTTTCCCCTACATTTTTCTCATATAGTAGTTAACAGCCAAGACCTGTTGTATGAAGTTTGCTTTATTGGTTTTAAATTGGAACTACAGGGCTAATGGAAGCTGACAAACAATGGAAGCTTTGGGGGGAGGGGTTAGAGGGGGTGTTCAGCAGGCCTCCACTATGTCGCCAACATGAAGTATCTACAGAGACCTTTACATCACATCAAACATTCAAATATGTCAGGAGAGATCTTATTGCATATTTTTGTATATTTTTAGTTGTTTATATGTCTCTAGATAGGTTTTTTGTTTATATATTTTTTTCTTTTTATATTGTATCACCCTTATTATTATAACTGTCCTGTGTTGTGTGACTGCTACTGGCTGCTAAATTTCCTTCAGGATCAATGAAGTATCTACCTATCTATCATCTATCGATCTATTATCACCCTGGTCTTCTCTGGTTTGATTTTTGTGTCTGAAAACAGTTTGACAATTGTCTTTGGTTTATTTACATAAACACTTATTATGTATTATTTATGTTTTTCTTCATATTTTCTATAATGAATTTTGCAGGTTAAACTTACCCTTTTAACTCCACCTAACTTTGCCTATATGCCCACACACAAGCTGTGTCTCAATCCGCATTCTACATACTAAATAGCAATGGCACCACTGGTGGTGTGCTAGTCTGATGTACTACTTTTTTCTCAAGCTTTTTTTTATGGCGTTGTATCACACAATGCCATAACATATAGCAGGCAATGTATTTGCAGTGTTTAAAGAGTTTAACCTATGATCATTAATCATAATAGTGCAATGATCTACAGTACAAACTGGACTTGCTTGGTTGATTTCTGACACAGAATGACATACTGTAATCTATATAAATGGACAAATGTACAGACAAAATACAGGTTTCACGACGACTGCTAGTTTTTGGCTGTGGAATGTTATTTATTTCTATAACAGTATATCATACAGGATCATAAACTACATAAACAAGAGGTTGCTTACCAAATCCATGTGAGTTAAGGTAAGTGTATGATGATTTTGGCCAATGTTTCTCAACCTGGTTCTCAGGGGCCCCCAGGTGGTCCACCTTTTTCCTTTCTCACCATGTGTTGCAAGTTGGGTAGAATCAAAAATGTGGTTCATTTGGGGGGCCCTGGGTGGGAAGCAGTGATTTGAGCACTTTGCATAATGCTAACTTTGGGGGCTATAAGCTTACATTAGTCTACTTACATTAGTGTCGCAGCTTGAGTATAAAACTAAAGAAGCAATTTTCAGACTCCAAACATATCAGATTGACTGCATTTAGAGAAAAAGCAAAAATCATTTTATCCCAAACTGTATTAATTGCATGCGAGACCAAGAAAGTCCCTTTCTTCTCAGTTAGTTTTCCTAATTTTGGACTGGAGGTTAAAAGAGCACAAATGTGGCAACACAAGACAAAATCCATCCATCCATCCATTCATCCATCAGGGCAAAAATTAATCAGCATACCTTAATTAATCCAATAATAGAACTTATCATGATGACAGAAATAAGTAGAAAAACATTATTTCTTCTCAGCTTATAGATTTACCTCCCCCTCCATGGCATGACCAGCTCAGGATTGATCTTTCGGATGAAATATTCTCCTCCGGGCCTGAGGGTGCGGTCAGTATGACCCTGTGGTTGGTCCTCTTTAGGCTCCTCCTCCACAGGCTCTTCTGGGCGGGGCCTGAACATGCCCAGGTAGGGAGGCAGGAAGTTGATGAACACCTGAGAAATATTGGAAGATAAATAATGGATCAGTTGTGAATTGTTATATGACATATGTTAGGACTGGAGTAGCAAGCAAAGCAGGACCCAATTTTGAAGGACACTGTTCTAAAGCAATGTTCTTTACACTATATAGAACTATGTTCTACAGGACCTTGATTAAACTTTGAACAATTTTTTTTGCAAACAGTATACGCTTGTATTTGATGATATACTTTTCAATGCTGGCTAACAGTCAAACCTGTCTATAGGTGTATTGTTAAGAGCACCACCCTGCTGGCTGACCTTGCGCACCCAGGTGGGCATGTAATGTGTGCTGGGGGTCCTGTGGTGCAGGTTTAACACCACCACACTAAGGATGACAGAGAACGTCACCAGGATCATAGTGAACATTACATAGTTCACGATAATGGGGATTCCCAGAGATGTCTCAGGGACTTTATCAGCCAGCAGGAGCATGAAGACAGTGAGGGCGATGAGCACAGAGATGGACAGAGTCATCTTCTCTCCTGCAGGGAACAAGAACATGTGGTAAAAGACTAGCAATGCTATGTATACTGTTGAATTTCATGCTATTTAACAGTAAAAAAAAGCTAACCAAAGAATGAACAGATCTCTTTCAAGCATATGACCATAATTATAAGATGTTTAACCACACACTTAAATGTAAATGTCCCAAAAAAAGGTTCTTAAAGGTTCTTTAAGGAAACAAAGGTGGTTCTTTTATAGCATTGCTCAAAAGATTTCATTTGGTACCCTGATATGTCACTGTGCAATACATAGTGGGACTGAAGCAAAGCTGACTGAAGGCACTGTGATCTTTTACTGTTAGGAATTTCTATCAGAATTTTAACAGTTTAACAACTCATACCACAGAAACTGGTCCATTCAAATGAGGACCAACCCTGTGACATCACATGGCCTATGCAATATTAAGAGCTTGATAGCATAGACTCTAAGAGTGAATTCTTAACTATACACAGCCACCTCACCTGCCCCTGGTGGAAGATAGAAGACAAATATAGCCAGAATGCTAGTGAGGATGCAGGGCACGATGATGTTGATGATGTAGAAGAGTGGTTTCCTCTCAATGATCAGGTAGAAGGTGATGTCCTCATACAGGTCCTCCTGGATATTTTTCCTGGTGGGCTTGTGGCAGATCTGCCACTCTCCATTCTCTGAGTGAACAGGGTCACTGTGTTACTGACTGTGTCAATGCTCAGTGTATTTGTCTAATAATAATAATCATCATAATAATAATCATTATAATTATAGTAATAACAGTAATAATATTTTACTTTACAGTTGTTAAATGTTATTTAAATGTAAGTTAAATTGTCAATATATCAAATATGTTGTAATATATTAAATCACAGAAAGCAGATTTCCCCCATATCAATGAGGTTTTAATCTAAATGCTAAATAAATAAATAAATAAATAAATAAATAAAGCTCACATCGAAAGTCTGAAAAACATAAAAAAATATGCATATGCAAATATAACACCTGAAAGGTAATGATATCACTAAAGGTAAAAAGCAGACTGACCAGTAAAAGCATTTTTATCGATGACGATCTCATGAAGCTCATTTCCATCCTCATCCAGCCCATACTGCAGGTCCACCTCTGAGGCATCATACGTATATGAACGAAACACCATGGTGCAATTCTGCCAGTCAAACGGAAAGTATGCCACCTAGAGGATTAGATTAGAAATAATCTTTGGGTAATTTTATTTCTAGTTTGTTATTGTTAAGCTTGTGTATTGTGAAATACCTTCTCACATTGATTGCAAAAACAGCAAAATATCAATAAAGGGCTGTCAGCTTACTTGGTCAATCAGTTAATGCTTTTAATTGTAGGCTCCTGCATAAATGTGTTATTGATTGCCGAATAATGAGCAATATTGGTCATTTGGATTGAGAGATCTACGATCTTTCATGCTTCCTCAAATGGATTTAATTTAGACGGGACTATACTGAAAGAAACCGACAACAGCTCCTTTCAACAGCCACGCCCCTCACAAACCAAGGTCATCCCTGACCCACTACCAGAGAGTGTGTTAGCTAGCACTTTTAAAACACCCTCATGCTATAAATGACTGTGATGCATAGCTTTAATATAAAAACATGTATGCAGTGCCTACTTTAGACAAGTGAAACTGAAGAGCCACTCTTTCTCCCTCTTCTGCCACTTGGCTAGTCTAACCTAGCTGACAAATGCTCACATTGCTTAAATGAGTTGGTGCCTATTTTAGCCACCTAGCCTCAGTGTTATACCATGGCAAATCCCTACACTGTTTGGTGCCTGGGTGATTCATACTCGCATTAGTCACTAACACTTACTGATGTGGTTACTGCAATCACTTCCAAAGAAACTCAAGTTTACTTTCATAATTCAATATGCCAGACAGATTTTAAGTTTGACTTCTGACAGAAAATAAAAGCCAGTCGCTGTGGGGTAGTTTATGCTGCAAGGACTACATCACTGTTCATCACCAGGCAATCCAAAATTCCCATTTGAAATATTACATTATTTTTCAATTCTGGCTTTGGTTAAAGACCATCAAATCACACATATTATGATAACTGAGATAGGCTGGATCTCAAATTGCTCCCTACTCCCTTTGTTGTGCATTATGCAGGTCACAAAAAATGTCTTCTACATCCAAATTGCACATTATATGTCTTATATTAAAACGATTTATATTTGGCTACAAACTGTATGACTCCCTAATGTTTAGTGCAATATTTGGGTGTAGAAGCCCTAGTTTCATGACCAAAGAAGTACACTATATAGGGTGTAGGGGGCCAATTGAGATTCAGACATATTTCAATCAATTTGCTAGCCCCTTTAAACAAGTGAAACAATCAGCATTATTGATAACAATATTTATTTGTGAGAGGATGTTATTTGTCTGTGCTAACAGCTTTAGGTGTACCTCTATTGAGCAGGAGCTGCGGTATATAGCTGGAGGCAGCCAGGAAACAGTGCCATCACTGGTAACCAGCACATTCACGTACAGAGCAACATCAAACTGCCCATCATTGCTGCAAATTAGACAAAATATCCCTAAGTTACACTCAACACCGCCTATTCTATAACAAAAAGCATCTAATACAGACCTCTCGCACACTTCTCAGTCATATGTATGCTGCCTTTGACTCATGTGACACTTAAACTGTGAATATTCATCATAAACACGGTCATTTATAGGAACTCTACTGTGTTTGAATACCTCAGATCACTCGACTTCCTTCCTTGCATAGCTTCGAGTGCATTGAAACAAAGGTTATGTATTCACAGAGCTTAAATAAGAAGCTATGACAGGTGGGAGGTCACATTTACAGTAGTGTATACAATCCATGTCACAGGTTACAACTTGAGCCTGTACAATTAATAATGAAAACAGTGGGCCCTCACTTGTTAATAAGGTATATGTCTGGACGCCACACTTTGGTAGGGGGGATCCGGATAACATCAATATTGTCGTAGTCCTTCGGATTCCAGGATAACCTGTAATCGGACCATGCCTGAAGAGAGAGGAAAGGGAGGGGATGGGTAGATAAGCAAGGTTGTTGAAACTGCATTTTGAGTGTTATAAATGACTGTAAGTGTAGGGTAGCCAAACATATTCATAATATTTCAGAAGATGCAGGCATGCTCCTGCATTATTCACTTTACATCTGTCCATCTGTAGGTTGACGGTATGTTTTTTTGGGACCATCCAGCTGGGATTTCTAAATTGCCTAAAATGTCTGGGATTTGACTTTGCTTTCATGTCAACATTTGCTTTCTACAGTCTGCCCTGTGCTGCCCTCCTGACTGCAGGGCCCTCATTTTTGAAAACCAAAACATGATCACACTACCCATTGGCTTCTGTTATATGATTGTTTTAATAAGTTTTGAGGAAACAGTTTTTCTCTTCTTTTTCTAAGCTTAGGGAAAGCATTAAAATACCCTACCAATGCAACCAACAGAGAAATATGCTGCGTTCGAGTGCTTAACAGAAAGTTGTATATATAAAGTTGGTAACTGGTAAATAAGACTTCAGTCCACTTAGTGATTGTTTGAAAATACGGCCATCATAGTAAAAAGAAAGCATGGACATCTGGAGAATATATATCCATTTTCTTTGCTATATTAAAAAAGATGTAGATCGTATGGTAGCTTATCAGGTACATTTTTTTACATTTACCACCAAGCTTACTGGCAAAAAGGGTAAAAGTTATACATCACATTGGTAAACTCATCTTCTAGAATATCCTCATGTATCTAGCTTGCTGACTGTTCAAGTGCAATTTACAAGTGGGAAAATTGTGAAACGTCCCAGTTTCCGACACTACTTGAATGCGGAATAAGTGTAAATATGCTGGAGTATTGCTTTAAAAAATAGATGCTTACTTTCTTAAGCTTCAGCAAAAAACAAAAATTAAAACACTAACAACAAATGGCAGGAGTCACCAATAAACCATTTCACGTATCTTATTCACAAACGCACACACATATGGAGTGTCACATCAGGAAGAACACACTAATTAGTTCTCCAGCAGTAGAGAGCACGAGGCCTTTGACAAAGAAAGCAAAAGGCTCAGAGCTCAAAAGGCTCTGAGCTAAAAAGGCTCTGAGTGAAACAGACATGTAATAATTTCTCTTTACAAAAAAGTGACAAGTGAATTAAGGCACAAAAGAAAACAGAGTGAATCTGTGGAGGAAGATAAACGGAGTGTCTCTCTCACCATGTTCATGTACACATTGGTTGTCATCCCTCCATTCTTCTCGTCCTGCAGGAATGGAGACACACTGACATTAGCATGCCACGGCTAAATCCTTCTTTGTGTGTGCTGCAGTAGAACACTCAGTGCTGTCAGATGAAAGCTAATGGCCTATTCACCGGATGACACTTGGTATCAGTAAAGCTCAGAGTGGTGGCACAGCTAGTGATGGGTAAATGTTGTGAAAAAAGTGTGGAAGCACCGTCAGTTTCCCCAGCAGGGGAGCATAAAGACAGCTGAACTCATTTTGCCCACATAGAATATTAATGAGCTATTACTGAGCTGCCAGTTTATTAGGTACTTCTTTTATTAGATATGTTGTATCCACACTCACTGGTCACTGTACCAGAAACACCAACCACATAGGTGCACTTTGCAAGTATACAATTCCAATTTATCAGCCCTTTTCTCTATCGCCTTCCATTAGTGGAAACAGACCACCATAGGACCCCTGCTGAACAGATATTTTTTGGGTGGTGGAACATTCTTATCACAGCAGCGACACTGACATGCTGGTGGAATGGTAGTGTAATGGCACGTATCAGGGACAGTGGTGTTGCTGGAGTTTTTACACACCTCTTACACACTATTACTGCTGTCCGTCACCAACAATTAACCGATTTGTGGTCCGATTAACCACCAACATAACTAGAAAGTGACAGTAGAATCAAACCAATTACATTTTGATTTACAAAGAGTGGGACCAACTTTATGAGAAAAGACGTCACTAGGCCTTCTGGAAATCCTAGAAACATCACTGACTGTGGATACAAGTTGCGGTCTAACCAGCAGTAGCACCTCTATGCCAGGGCTCTTTACTGAAGGAGCATAGGGTGTAGGGGGTACAAGCTACCAAAAAAACACAGAATATAACCATAACCGTGGCAAGTGCCTTTCCACTTTCCAATACTGCAGTAGGACAAAACAGAACACAAACCTTGTATCTCATAATAAGAAAAAATAAAAAATAAAATAAATAAAATAAAATAAAAATAAGCCATGTCTCTTGCTTTGCACACAGGAGCAGTAATGATAAAAAAAACAAGATCATTTTCATTATTTAACATATATTTTAACATTTATTTTGTTTATTTATTCCTAAGTTTTTAATATTGAATGTAAGTCTGAGCAGTCACTTTGAGTGGGCCAATGATCGCCATTGTATGTATGTGTGTGTAAATCCTACCAAACTAATGAGCTGCACTAGGGTCATTCCAACTCTGACCATCACTGTCTCGTTCCAGGCCCGAGCAGGTCGCACTTTCAGGTTGTAATTCTGAAACAGATCCTGCAGCAGCTTCCGCTCCGCCTCAGAACCGCCTACAAAAATACACGCAGACATCAGTTTGGTAGTGAGGAGTGACACGTTTGTGTAGATCAGCTGTTTTATTGGTGTAGCACCAACACTACTAGGCATAGCCATCTCCAGTGAAGAACTTAAAAGATACTGTAGTAGACTGCAGTTGTAGTACAAAAAAGCACTTAATCCAGTATAGTGATAAATGTTTGAAGGAAAACGTGACTTTTGTTCATATGGACACGGGTTGGGAATGTTGATGTGACATGACCTTCTCTCTGGGGGCCAAAGCACACTCGGCAAACTCCAACAAACCCAAATATTATCTATAGGACTGATTCTTAAACCTCAGGGCCCACCAGATGGTCTGCAGTTTTGCTCTGTCCTTCGTGTTGAGAGCTTTGTTGAAACGAAAATGTGGACCTGTGGTCCCTTAGTGGATAAGACTAATAACGCCTGCTTTGCATGTTCTCCATTTAACCTGTTCTAGAGTGTTCTTCTCCATTCACTCTGTTCAAGAATGTTGTACCCTATTCACAATGTTCAGTAATGTTTTCCTCCAATAACATTGTTCAAGAATATTCTCCTTTATTCACACTGTTCTAGAATTTACTACCCCTCTGGAATATTCCCCTTCATTTACATTGTTCTAGAACGTGCTCCATTCACACCATTATTGAATGTTCTTTTCCTTTCTCATTGTTCTTCTCAATTCACACTGTTCTAGAATGTTCTTTCTCTTTCACACCATTCTCCTCCTTCACACTGTTCTAGAATGGTGTGAATGGAGAAGAACATCATTCTTGAATGTTCTTTCTCTTTCACACTGTTCTTCTCCATTCACACTGTTCTAGAATGTTCTACTCCATTTACATAGTTCTTTCTCTTTCACACTGGTCTCTTCTATTTGCCCTGTTGAAGAACATTCTCCTCCATTCACACTGCTGTAGAATGTTCTCCTGTATTCACACTGTTCAGGATATTCTTCCCTTTTTACTGGTTCACTTGGTTTATCAGTTCTTTTTCCAAACTGCTAACATTAGAATGTTGGGTTCATGTTCTCGGACTGGCCATGGATACAACTTTCCACAACGAACCCCAATATTTTAGAACAGTGTGAACAAGAAGAGAACATTCTATAGTCTCCCAAAAATCACACACAGGTACAGTGTCTCATATTTGTGGATAGCAGTGGGGTAGCAGTGTTACCCAGTACAATATACTTGAGTTTTCTCAGAATCACATGCCACCATGCATCATTACTAGAGCTTCTACGCTACAGCTGTGTCCTATGGGATGGTCTGTTTACATGCTCTGCATGTCACAAGGTCAAATGTATTGTGGCATTGCCTGCACCACTGCCCTGATAAACCCTGTGTGGTAAAATCGTCTGCTGTTTTGAAGTCTGTTTACAGTTGACTTTCAGAGGTGATATAAACTCACACATTTCGCCAATTAACTGTGATTAGCATACCTGGCTCTGTGTGGTTGTGTAATAGACTACAAAGCTGTGGTGGTGTTTGTCATCCATATGAATCTAATCACACATACATTCATTCACAGCAAGCAGTCATTGTAGAAAAACACATTATAAATATATTATGAGAGGTGGGTAGTAATTGCTTTTATTTACTAATTGTACTTGACTAAAATGTACACTGCTCTGTGTTTTTTTTTACTCTGTTCTATTTTAGCCATTCACATTCATAATGCCTTTTTTGCAAATAACTTCATTCTGTTCCGCCTGTTTAGCACCTGGGCTGCTTTGCTGTACTTCACACCTCTCAGCTTTCACATTTCATTCTAGACCAAAGATTCCAAGAAGGATTACAAAATGAAAAAAGCGCGAACTTCAGTTCCTATGCTGATAGATGCTGGAGGTACTAACAGTTTTCACTGTAGGTCTATAGGGAACTTCAGGAGTTTTTGACCTGGTACTGTTTTACTTACTCAATTAGGGTTATTCATTGCAAGGTTACACATATTTTTACTTCAGTCTTCTTTTCAACAAAATAACAATACTTTTACTTGAGTATGAGGGGATACCAACAATGTGCAAAGCACACTCAATAAACTCAAGCATATGACATCACAAAGCTATCAGCCTTACCTGTCAGAGATAGCATGCTACAGCAGCACAGAAGCCAAAGCAAACAAGTTATCCTCAGCTCCATCCTACTGGTCAGGTTCATTCCATACACTGGCCCCTTTACCAGACACAGAACGTCACATACATACACAGTCTTACACTATCTGTCATACACACACACACACAAGCCAGTTGTTTGTCCTTGTTCTTCTCCTTAAAAGTTTATATATATTAGATTCCAGTTGGATTAGCACCAGAGAAAACAGGAGGCACTGTAAATGTAGCTCCTACAGCCTATATTAGTCTCTTTCAATCTTCACGCCATCATTGCTTTCTTCTCCGAGCTGTGTATCTGTGTGTGGGATAGCCTGTGGGGTAGCTTTTCCTTTGGCAGGGAATTATGGGAATGGTTACACACTCCAAGGCAGCGCTGGCAGGCACCTGTTGGTGGTGAACGTGCGTGTATGTGTGTGAATGTGTGTAGAGTGAGAGTGTGTTTTAAAATGACAGGGGGAATGGATGACAAAGGGGATATTTTGGTTGTGAGAACAAAGCAAAAAGAAGAGCATGAGCATTCCCTCAGGACACATACAACTGCATGTTTGTTTTTATATCTGATCAGGACATACATATGTCTTATCTGTAAATACTCATATGTAATAACAATAATATGCCTATATATACATGTGTAAATACCTATATCCCATGTTTTATATATTATATATATATATATATATATATATATATATATATATATATATATATATATAACTATAAATAAAATAAAAAACTAATTAACTCATCCTCTATGGAGAACACACTTCTGCACATTTAATGTACAGTTCCTGTCTATTCGCAAAATTTAACATTGGGAAAAAACAAGCCATAAAATGTGGCCTGTGCAAAAGTTATGCCACAACATTTTCTGTTAATTTTTGCCCAGTAATGTTTATATTTAAATTGTGCACTAAAATGTGGAGAAAAACAACATATTTAACATATTTAAATGTGCTCACTGTAGAGGATGTTTTAACTTATTTTCACTTACAAAATCAATAAAATACGTAATTTGACCAGGAGTGTTGAAACTTATGCATACAATTGTATGTATTAATAACGAACGTGATATATATACATAAGTATCTATATGTAATTAGAATGTTCTAGGCCTAATCTAAACATAACTGTATTCTTAACCTCAGGAACTAAAAATAAATTGTTTTACTCTCAGTTTTAAACAATGACACACCAAACTTCTGTAAAAAATATTTTACAAAATCAGGATCATTTTGTTGGTCCTGAAAACGTACAAAAACAAACACACAGACCCGCACACACAGATAGGATGTAGGCGCCCGGCATGTCTTTCAGGCACAACCTTTCAACATGCCACACTCTCTTTCATTCTCTCTCTCTGCTGTGGTCACTTTGCTCTTTCTGTCCTCCAGAGGCATGATAGGCATTCACTGGGGCTGCCCAGTGACACCAGTGCAAAGCATTAGACATGCAAGTATGCATGAACGAACACACACACACAGACACACACACACACACACACACACACACACACACACAGGAAAACCATTCCTAGTATCAGGCTCTGGCTCTCCATCTCAAAAACCATCAGCAGATAAAAGGACAGAATGCTTTGTTGTACTGTAGTTATATCACTCTCATGTGATGGAAAGACAAAAAAGGATTTAGCCCATTACTAAAAGATGGAAAAGGGTATTAAGTACAAACACAACACATTATTCCTACTCTCTCCCCTCTCTGGCTCTGTTCTAGCTCCACAATCTGTCACCTTTGACCTTCACCAGCTCTATGGAAGGCTACCAGCAGATGCGAATGCACATACACTGAAAAGTCAATGCACTTACATTACATTTAAACTCCTAAATTCAGTGCATTACTTTTTCAGTTAAAAACACTAGAGCTCAGACCTTGAATTACAGCAACAAACCAGAGGCAGACACAGAGAGTTTTCTAGAGTACATGACACATGCCACAAACATGTTGTGCTGGATGTACTGTATGAAACAGGCCTTAATAAAAAAGTCTAGTAACAGAGCAGAGAGAGAGAGTGGATGTTAACAGCATTGATTTTTGATTACATCACCATGCACTAGCGTGCAGGGGAACAATATTAACCAATATTATCATGCTTTACTACACCCCCCCACCTATCACCACACAAAAATGCTTAGTTAGCCCAGATGCCTTACCTAAGAAACATGTCACAGTAACATGTCACATTATGGAATAAAAATCAGTTGATTTTCTGATTCATGTTGACTTTAAACTGGAATCCCAATGTTACATAGAGATTCTAAACAGTACACTGTAAAAACTGGTGAGAAAACTCAAAATATCAAGGCAACACGATGGTTTAGGACTTTAGAGTTTTCTCAAAAGCTGCTTTGTAGTCATCCCTACTACGCTTAAGATTTGTTTGTTATGCCAGCAATAAAATGTCACATTGTTTTAAAAGGGGAAATTTATATCACATTACATTTACAACATTTGGTAGACACTCTAATCCAGAACAACATTTAATCATGTTAAATCATGTTACAGAAGTAAGCTAATGTAGCGTAGCAGTCTTTCCCAGAGGTGCTCATTGGTATGACAGCCTGACATGTTCGTTTGGATAGAGGAATCAGACCCAGTCTGCTGAGTGGATGGCAGAGGTGTTATCCACTATGCTATACAGTGTAAAGACATGGGGCCTTATTACAGAAACATTCTAACTGTGAAATCTTATCTGTTTAGTCACCATGACAATTTAAGTTAGAATGAATTTTGAACACTAGCTATAACATAATAACAGTTCCAGAATAACAATTCCAGTTAAACAGTATCAGGTCAAGGTTATTGTCTTATCCTAACTCCTAACTAGTAGGAAAGAGTATTATATAAGCATCCTAACTAGGGAAAACGTCCTAAAACAGCATGTCCTAACTACTATTTTAGCTTTCCGTTTCTACCATTAACCATTTAATTAAAAAGAGAATGAGTGTATTTACGTGCACTTAATAATCCTATCATAATCAGATTTCTGCAGTTATCTGATTATTCAAATGGTCATGTAAACAGTGTCCACATTATCTTAATTAACCTAGTGCATGTAAACACACTCATCATTATGGTTTTTAGGCAACTGTGACAGGAAGCAAACTAGGTTAACTATAACTAGCATAATGACATTACATTTATTCATATTGCAACAGCAGTTTCACCTGTGAGAGTGATTTTCTGTTTAAAAAAACCTAGATACTGCAGACATGCCCTTCATTCCCTCTCATTACCCCATTCCCTCTTATTAATGTTGACAAAAACTTGCCAAATAAAATATTTCATCAATGGCTTTAAACATTGAGGAGACAAAGTTGAACTCTAGCTGTTTATTAGGAGGAATAATGTTAGCACAGCTGGCTAAAGCTTTGGAAAACGGACATAAAAACTGAGAGTGGAGCAGCAAAGATGCCCTATTAAGCAGCAGGGGGCACAGTAACAACTTTTTTGAATGTCTAGGTCATCACACTTTTGTTGTGACATTTAAAAAATAACCTGTCTAGCTAACTAGATTACTTTAGATCAAGTGTTTACATATTGCCAGTTGCTTGGTAACAAAAATAACAATTATCAACTTCAAGTGAATAATTCAGGATTTCATAACTTGTGATAAGATAGAATTACTAAATTATGTTTTGCTTGTATAATATGAATTTGAATCTTATCAAAGCATATCATATCTTAACTTAGGACTAAAGATTGGAAGCTGCTGTAATATGGGCCCAGAAGGGGAATGCTATTTAAATTCTCAAATTATTTATTTAAAAACTGTTGAGAGATGGTGTGCCTTCAGTGGAAATAACAATGGTAACATCACCCTTCTTGTCTTTAGATTACAGATGGTGTGGTGTAGTGGGTAACACTAGATTGATTTCCTGCTTGGGAAAGAACAAGAAATCCTTGGGCAAGACTCCTAATTCTCCATCAGCTAACTCTGTAACATGATTAGAAGTCACTCGGAAAAACACTGTCTGCCAAATGTCATAAAGGTAAAGTAAGTTTCTCCTTTAAAAAATATTTTATTGTCAGCCTTATGTTAAATGAGCAAACAAATCTACACTGTAAAAAATGGTTTGTCAGTTCAATTTAAAAAAAGTATTTAATGTAGTAACAGGCATTTGAATTAGTTTCATCCATCTCAAAATTACTATGAAACAATGATTCATTCACAGTATTTTTTAGGTTGAATAAAACTAGTTAATTTATTTAAATTAAATTACCACATGAAGTAATTTGTTTAGGTTAAATTGACAAACCAGTTTTTGCCCTGTAAGTTGGTTAAACAAATTAACCCTAGAAGGGATGACTACAACCCAGAAATTTTTAATGCATCATGTTGCCTTGATATTTTGAGTTCTCTCAACAGTTTCTTAAGTGTACGCTTTTTGCCAGTGCCGGTCTAACCTTGCAACAGTTGCTAGTTGCTAAATAACCATTTGTAAGCACAGATAGGTCAATTCGGCTAGTATGGCAAAATGTATTGAGTCATATCCAAACGTTAGACATCTTGAAATAGTGTGGCTAAACAAAGTACAATACATGCTTGGCAAGTTGGCACCTAGACTAAAATTTTACCGGATGTATCAGTAGCCCATTCTTCATAGCGGAGCCAAATGCAGCTTAGCAGGACAACTTAACACGCCAGTTAGATTTGATAGAACTGTTGGCCAATATTCAAAATAGGTGTGACAGAGCAGCAGGAACATAAAGTCCACTTCCAAACTGAGGCTGTACAGAATTCTGGGACCATATCTCAAATTCATAAGGGTATAGAGTACATTTGGAGATATTCCAAGCATGATGTCTAGACTTTATCAACTTAATGTGACCTGAAGGCCTCGTCTAATATGCAAGATGGGTCAAAGACGTGGGGCTTCTCAGAATATTTAATAATGATTGAAAGGTCATAATGATCCTAAGCATTAATTCTAAACTTCATTTACTACATTATCCTTTTTTATTTTATGGGACTAACTAAGAACCCAGAATTATAAAGTGAAGCAAAGCATAAACCTTTCATAAAAAGGCTATTTCTGTGTTTTGTTTGAAGGACCCACTTGTAACATTTGTGTGGGTTTATTTACCTAAAATAGCTATAATTATTTCTTACACGACCAATGTCCAACCTCTCTTTATGTCTTACAATTAAACAGGCTGTTTCTGATACAGTGCCTTAAAAGCTGAAATATACAAGTGACCTCTGTTCTGACTGGGTCCCTACACTGTGCCTCATTCAAAAAG